GGGTGGGAGCTGAGCGGCAAACCCCTGACGTTGAACCACGTCTTTGGGTCAGTCTCCGGGTAATCGGGTCGACATGTCATTAGGTACTCAGGTGTAGCTGATGGATAACTGAAATTCGACGTGATGAGGTTGATGGGGTAGCGTGATGATGTGTGCTGTCTTCTACAGCTCATTTCGGGTTCAACAGCGCCCTGGGGTAGTTCAAGGGTGTATGATGTGCCCAAGCAAGAGCATGACATGTCGTATTGCCTCGGCTGATGCATGAGCTCTGCCTCTCGCGAAGGAATGACATGCCAAGTCATATAAAAAGCACCGTGATTAGCTTCTTGAGAGTATACTAACCCTCCAATTCACGTTGCCATGCTCAATGACTTCAGGACGATGGTATCTGAGCTCTCTCACTCCCGGTGGACCAAACTACAAGACATCAGCGTCGCCGTAAATCACCACAAGATATCATGAGACGATCCACCAAGCTACAAATCGAATAGATTACTTCCCCCTCACGAACCCCTCTGTAGATGCTCCTCGTCTGGACCACGTGTTGACTTCTTCATCGATCGATTCTACAGGTTCGTTCATCTGCGACAGCCGACGATACCCTCCCGAGCCAATCATGTGCCAGCATCTCACAGCTTCATTTCCACTTTTGGATAAGCGCCAGGGCACTGGAAATGCCGTCTGGGCCTCTTTCTCATTTATCGTGGACCCTTACTTTCAGCTGCCTCGCTTAATATTGGATTGGTTCTTCTTGATATATGATGAAGAGTGGGTTTTCCCTTCGTCAGTAACGCGTATTTGACAGCACAATGCAACGCAAAGCCCTCCCAGGAGAAGCCGTCTCAAAACATTCTTCAACTCGGCCGTTCTATCTCATCCACATTTTTGTAAATGGTGGTGCTTCTTGCCAGTAAATCTCAATACTTGTCTACTCAAGTTCGTGACGTAGATTATCGTAACCCTTTGATAAGCACAGCATAGATTATCGTGACCTTTGGAGAAGCACAGTATCACAACAGCTGTCCCCTGGCAGCTCATGCAGTCCAAAGACTCTGCCAAGGAACTCCCCAGTACCAGCTGGCCACCGCCATTCCGCCAACACTCATCATCACGGCCATCAGAAAGTTGACGTCGTTGTTGTCAAGCAAGTCCCAGCCGTTCTCAACAACACGAGAAGGCTTCTCGTCCCCAAAGCTAGGCTTCCGGTGCTTGTTCTTGGGGTCGAACTTGTCGGCTGCCTCGGTAGACTCATCGACAGCTTCATCAGTGGCCTCCTCCTGTTGCAAGGAAGCCTTGACGTCAGCCCGCTTCTCCGAGCCTCCGGCTTCGCTGGACACCAGCACTCGGGAGCCACCATCGCCTTCGACAATCTTGCCCGTTCGCACATCTTTGACGGAACGCTGGAAGGTGGCACCGAGGATACTGTCCAGGACGCTGCCCAGAGTGCCCCAGACGACCATGAACGCCATGAACAGTCGCCTGTTGTCTGCTGACCAGGGCACGCCGCCCGCACGCTTCGTAGCGGTGGTTTCGTCGCACAGGGGCAAGAAAAGCATGGAAGCCGTGACGATGGTGAGCGATCCCAGAAGCCCAGCTCCCAGACCCAGCAGCGTCACCCCGCCATTTGTGCCGCGGGGCACCTTTCGGAGCGTCAGCGACGTGATAAGGCGGGGTTCGCTCTTGGACAGGATGCCCAACTCCGAGCTGAACGTGTCGGCGGCAACCGCGGCGTAGTTTGCAATGATGCCGACGACAAGGAGGTCGCCTCCCCACGAGAAGCAGAGCGATCCGTCCGGCTCGGCCGCGCCAGGGGTCTTGAGGGCAGCAGCCCGGGCGTAGAGCTGTCTTGCGTGGAGAACAGACAGAACTGATGCCACGAGCGAATTGGCAAAGACTTGAGAGCAGGGTTAGTCGAATCGATCCAGGCCAGTTGGAATCAGACGCCTGGGCAGTCATCGCACCTTGAACGTGTGTCCGAGGACCCTCGCCGCCTGAGGTTCCCTTTGCACTCACGGTGAGCTGGGCCTTGACGTTTTCCTTGACCTGCTCCATCGTCAGCACCTCTAGGTCCAGCAATTCCCGCCGCACTCGGTGGACTCACATGCGTGACTCGCGTGCCCGCGAGAAAGAAGACGACAAGCAGGACAAAGGGCAGATTCCACGGGTGGTAGGCATGTGCAATGGCCGTGGCGGCGGCAGCAACGATGCCAGCCGGGGTCAGAGACTTCTTCTTCCAGGCCCTCAGCACAAGGGCCGCAGTTGCCGGGATGGCAATGACGGGCTTCATGATGCGGCGAGGCTGCGCTGCTTCGTCTCCGGGTGTGGTTTGAGTGTGAAGGATGAGTTGGTGAGCTGTCCAGAAAGCGAGAAGCTGAGGTGATTGTTAGTAGTACCTAAGGTAGGTGAGCTGCTTACAGGGACCTTCGCTTATCTCACCTGCAGCCCATTTGCCGGCTACGTAATCACCGCCGGCTGTACTTCAATGCCTGTAATCGATACCTCAGGATCTGCCCTCAAGGTTCCCATTCTTTCAACAATCAACTTCCAAGTTCTCCCCTGTTCCTTTCATCATCATCCTTCAATGTCCGCTTTCTCTCCCAATTGACCAGCTTTGGGCATCAAGACCACTCTACACGATACGTCATGGGCAAACGGCCGTCTCCCTACAGCTACCCGCAGTGAGGCTTACAGAAGCACAGGGCCTAATCATCTGCCTTCCAACACAACGTGGCGTGCTACAGACCATGTGAAAGATTGATTATTCCCAATATTCTCTTTGGCACTGTCTTCCAATCAGATTCAAGTTTTCAGTTGTGACACGGTCCAAGACACTCGAACCGCTGGGCTGCTGAAGAATGGTCAGGCCTGTGAGTCGCACCGCTTGCAGATCCTTGGGCTCTTCAGGTCCGTCGAGGATCGGTGCCAATGATGTGCCGCCGTCGTATTCCAGACTGCAAAACACCCTTTACGCCCCTGTTCTCTTGGAGAGCCAGTGCTCTGGAATACAGGGCCTGTTTCTCAATTCGGTCAACTGAGAATACCCACCTAAAGGCCATATCAAACGGTTGTGACATATCACGGCCCTCCGTCTGGAATTGGTTTATTGAAACGCAAAGCGGGCACGCAGCCATGACCAGCTTCCAAAGCCATGGAAGAATCTGTATAATAACCAGAAGGCTGGGGCAATGATTCTCTCCAGTGGCTCTTCCACAAAACTGAACCCTGCCGTGCCTGAAGCCAGAGGCATGCTGGCCGCAGAAGATTCGACGAACATGGCACCTCAGGGATCGGCTACCTGCTGGGTGAGCGGCATTTCTAGTCTGCGAGTTCAACTTCACCTTCTCACCGCACGTCAGCCAGACCACGTATTCCAACTGGTTGCACAGTTTCACAGTCGTGGCCGCCTAGCTATACGGAATATTATATGTGAGACAATCGTTGAAGCCTAAAATAACCACTCGTATATTTGCCCCAGAGATCACAACACTAACAAAGCATGAGCATCAGATACCACCACTTGACAAGAGCAGCTTGGATATGAAGGTATATTTGCACATTAGGCGCAGTCTACCTTGTACAAGTCGAGATAGCGCATAGTGTCATCTCCACCTTGGTCATGGCTTTCGCTTTCATCATCAGGGCAAGGCGTCGAAACCCAACAGACAGCCAGCAGGGACAAGACAGTATGGGGACATATCCGTCACTCCTGAACCACAGACCAGATGCCCAACTACGTGATCATGATCGACCCTTACTACAGGCATTAGGATATACGCTCTCCTAGTGGATACGTCAGTAGAGCGCGGGCCGACCCGGGGCAAATATTGCCAACATGTTGGAGTTTGCTGCCGATCCTCTCAGCCGACCGGCTGCATGCAACCTCAGGCCATGAAAGAGGCACTGGCCAGGTGACAACTAGGGGCGTGTGCTTGATTGTGTCCTCTAACCTTGGCCGCTTTCTGAGTGGCTGGGCGTTGAAATGCAAACTCCTTGTTTGCTCTCTGGCCTCCCCTGAGTCTGCCGTCAACCAAGGCAACTATGGGATCTCCCTGGAAGCGATAATCCAAAGGGCAAAGCCAATTACCACAGTCAAACAGCTGATGCCATATGAAGATCTCTCTGCCAGGGGCATCACGGCCAGTACCTTGGCCTCTTTCATCAGCCCTAGATCAGGCACATGTGCTTCCTCTCTGCGAGGTTCGGGTATCCCTCATCGTCTCTCAGCTTCCGAGCATTGCAACAGGCTATCTAAGCAGTTCAGAGCTGACGGTCTGCAGATATCATGCTGTATGGCGGTTTCACGTCGATCAACCTACTCACACCGAACTTTCCACAGCCAATTATCAGCCCCTTTCACGGAATACATAGCGGGCCTAGAAGGAGGGCGTACGCGCAACACGAGTAGAGTTCGTTGTGCACAAAAGGCATCCTTTCCTCGCCCAGCTGTCGTATGCAACAGCGGTTTGTTCGCGGCACCTACTTGAAGCGGTTTAACATGAACTCTTAGTCGCTCTCGGCGTTGATGACGAGCTGCGGAACGAAGGCATCGTCGTAAGGCGGCAAATTTGCTCCAATTCTGCTGATTTACAGTACTGTTGAGAAGCTTCAAACCATCGTACTGTTCCTGCATGTTAGTAATATTTCACCGCATCTTTCTTTTCTGCCAAAGAGGCGAACAACTGATATTTCTAGGAAACTCCTGACGCTTGTCGATGCTGTCTTGCCGCTACCCGTGGGATTCCTCCAATTGTAAAATTACTGCGAAATTCTGTTCACCGTCTGCAGCTTATTCTCTCTATTCCAAGCTCTTGCCCAAAGTTACACTATGCCGCTTCACAGGCCGGGAGGCTATATCGAGCCTTCATCTGGATCCGCCGGCAGTCCGTGTATATCAGGACGCACACTCATTGCCTGTCAAACCTGCGCGAGTGCAAAGACTGGCTGCGATAAAAAGGTTCCTTGCGGCAGATGCTTGGAGAAGAACATACAATGCACCGCTCGATACGCCCGCCGGGCATCCAAAGCTGCGATTCGGGCAGCACAGTCAGCGTCGTCATCGACGAAGAATCAAATGGCCGGGTTTGCCTTCGGTTCACAACAACGTCAGAAGAACTCGTTCTCCTATGAAGTGGGAAACTACGCTGAGGCTGTTTCTCAGGAGTCTCTACAGCAGCTGCCTTCGAATGGGGACCAACACGACGATGCCCTCTGGGATATTCTCAATCCCCTTTCGCCACTTTCTGGCTATCCAGACAACTTGAACACCATTGAACACAAACACGAGTCACCTATAGCAATTGGTTTCTCGGAATATACAGCATCCGTTGACCTCCTCCCCAACGATCCGTCAATGAGAGTGCCGAGGAGCCATGACTTCTTTCTAGACAATCTGATCAATGGCTCCAATAAACCGCATCTTTTCTCCGAAATACCCTATTTGTCAGGGGCGAAGGATCTTTCCAGTATGGTACAGACATCGGACACCTGCAAAGACACGCCCAGCTTTTTTGGCGGATGTCGCAACCTCGAGCTCGACATTGGCAGCGCCCCCAGCGAACCGCACTCTTGGACAAGACCGTGTCTATGCGGCGCCCAATCTTGGATGAGGAGGCTTAGGTCCAAGGGACTGTTTGACAGTGCTACTACGGATACCGCTACAGGCGAGCCGATGAATTTGCATCAGCAGCCAAGGGCGAAACACCAATCGTCAACTTGTGATATGTATGAGTTTTCCCTTTTCCCTTCCTTCTTCGTCCTCATCTTCTGCATGGGCTGCTAACTATACATGTAGACTGGCTTACGACTGGGTCCAAATCGACCAAGAGCTCAGCCTCTTTCACGACACTGAGCAAACCCTTTCCAATTGCGACCTGGAGCGGCCCCTCCCCGACCCAAACAGTCCTTGGACTACAAGAGATATCATTCGAGATAGTCAATCGTATCTTTCTGATGGCTTACATGTGGATGCCAAAGCCCAAGAAGCATTCGAGTACGACTTTCGCCCGAGCTTGAGTCAACTCTTCAAAGGCTTGGTTCACGATGCGACATCGGGCAGAGTGCCACCAAGGCATCTTCGCCTCCTTCTTCATCCGCTGCAAGCTCTGGTCAATCAGTCTCAGAGACTCCTTTCTTTCGCAAATCACAACTCGTCGCCAGTGCTGTCCGAAGTGGCAAATTCTGCGCTCCTGGAAACCCAGAGACTTCTGCGTGCGTGGTACAGGCTCGCACTGGAGGCCCAAGACGAGCACGCATATATGCCCGATGCCGACACCACGCTGGGCATGGTTCTGTATCACTTGATATGTCTCAACCTGGCAGCCAGCTTCGTCGACATTGAGCGGCTCGCCGATCGAAAGAACATCGGCATCGGCTTTTGGCAGCAGTCCCTCCAGCAGGAAAGAAGCATCTACAGCCGACAACAAGCCATCTTCCACTGTGGCCAGGCGCTGCGATACCTGCGGGCGGTCAGTATAGACTCGCTCCCTTGGTGGTGGCCCACGGCTGTGCACCGAGCAATCACTACCCTGTGGGCTGCCTCCATCCTCGGATCCGGACCAACAAGTCAGTATAAGGAGACGACACCGGTGATATACTCGCCACCGAAAGGCTTCTGGCCGCGGGATGCCATGGACATCGTCGAGTCGGGGGGGACGAACTCGTCCGTCGTTGCTCCTGCTCCTGAGCCCTCCATCATTGCAATCGACAACGTCGCCCCTGAAGATCCGGCCTTTGGTGATGCCAATTGGAGCGAGCGACACTTGCTCGTTCTCACCGCTCAGGACGAAGCAGGAGGCGTAGTGGTTTTGACTGATGCGACGGCCGTTCTGCGATATGGCATTTCGCTCATTCGTGCGTTTTCGAGTTCGGTTGATGGAGAGGCGGTGGTTACGAAACTCAAGGATCTGGGACAGGCTTGGGGCTTGGGAGCGGAATAACAGTGAGCAGGTATACTATCAGAATTCATTGTTTGGTGTCTCATCGGCGGTTGGAACATCATTGCTTCGCTCTCTTTTTCCAAGCGGCAAACGCACGACATTTGTAACAGCTCGAATGGGGGTATATATAATATCAAGCAAAGCTGCTCATAGCATATCATATGTTCAGATATTGTTCGTGAGTGCCTCTCAAACGCCGATAAAAATACCCAGTACTATTCAAAATTCCAAGATCGTCATCGTCATCATCATCATCGTCATTTGCCATACCATCTCCATCTTCCCCCTTCTCCTCCCCCCTCCCACCTTACTCAACATTTCCAGATATCAAGCTCTGCAGCTCAAAAGGACTAAGCGTACTCCTCCTCCTCGATGACACCTTGGCCGCCCTCCTATCCCTCTTCCGCTTCTCCGGCTTCTCCGCTTCCGGCTGCTGAACAGCCTCTCTCTTCACCAAAGGACTCGCTCTCCCAACAACAGCCGAAGCAGCACCCCTCGTCGCCGTCGCCGCTGTTTGCCTTGCAGACTCTGCCGCAGAAGAGGTTCCCGTCGGCCGTTGAGCGGCGCTCGCAGCGGGGCTTCGCAGAGCCCGGAGTTTCGCCCGGTTGCGGGCCGCGGCGGCTTGCTTCTCCGCGGCCGCGAGCTTGACCGCAATGGCAGTCTTGGACGGCGAAGCGGGTTGCTGAATTCTGGCTGGTCGAGGCTGCGCCAGACGGACGGGCACGCGGCGGGGATTTGCGCGCATGGAAGAAGAAGCGGCGGAAGCAGCAGCAACACCCGCGGCGGGGCCGCTTCTCGAGGCAGCATGTTCTTCGGACCGGCTGTTGTCTCTCCTGTCACTCGACAGCAGGACTTCGTCCAACGATGTCGTCGACCCAATACGGACTCGGTCATCGGCGTCGGCCGCTCTCGAGGGGACGGGACGCGGCCTTTGGGCAGCATCAAGAGGTTTGGCGGTACCTCGACCGGCAGCAGCCTGTCTGGCCGATTCGGTGTTGGCCGTTCCGGCTGGCGCTTGGGGGCCCCTTGCTGTAATCTTCTGCCGAAATCTGCTCTGCTGGGTACCGCGATTGCCAGCTGAGTAAGAGTTTTGAAGAGGGCCTTGTTGAAACAGATCAGTATGCGCGACTGGCTCTACCGTTTGTTGTATCTCGTCGGCCTCTTCCGTCCCTGGCATGTGGTGATTCGGTTCCTCGGCGTCGTGTTCGTCGGCTTCTAGATCTTCGTCTTCAACATTAGAAGAGCCCGTAGCCTCCTCGTCGCTGTAGCCGTACATGTCTTCCTCGGGATCTTCTTCTTCCTCTTTCGCATCATCAATCAGTACATGTCGTGATCCATAAAGGGGAAAGGGGCCAACGGCATACCTTGACGATCCTCCATCTCGTCTTCGTTCTCCTCCTGGACGGCTGATAGATCGTGCCCACGAGCGGCAGCTCTCGTCTCCTCCACATCAGGGACACGAATTGGGCTCAAATGCAGGCCCATCCGAATGTCATCCTGCCCAACAGGCCTGCCGTTCTTCGCCATCCTCTTCCGCCAGCCGTCCATCAGATGGACGGCATCTTCCCACCGACTCTCCATCTTGACAAAGCCCTTCCTGAGACGGTGGATCTCCTCCTCTCGCACCATGACCTCTTCAATGGGCACAAACGACGGGTTCGTCAAGATGGTGCGCATGTGGTCCATGACAGCGCCCAGCTCCGAGGCTAATTCCTCCCAGCCTTGCGGCTTCATCACCTCAGCGTCCTGTCTCTCTTCACCGGTAAACCCGCTCATCTCCCGCAAGTGGTCCTTTGCCTGCTGCATGACCCTCAAGAGAGCTTCATTCTCCTCGCTCAGGTTCTGCGCCAGATTCGCCAGGAAAGCATTCGACTCGCTGCGCAGAGAATAGTCCCTGTCCTCGAGGTTCCCTCCAGCACGAGCGGCGGGCGACAATCTCCGCTGATCTTCGTTGCCCACGTCGCCCGTCACAGTAATCGAGACGACTCCCGAGCTGGATCTCGTCCCCCTCGCGCGCCCAGCCTCGCCGACCTGCTTCTTGAGAGTCTCAATCTGGCGGTCGCGCCTCCGAATCTCCGTCGCGCACGAGGCCCTCAGCTGGGCCACCAGTCCCTTTGTGCGCGCCAGCTCGTCCTTGAGGCCTTTGATGGCCGACTCGGCCGACTTGAGCTGCGTCTTGAGCGACGCCTCGGCCGTCGAGGCAATGTCGCTCCTGCGCTGCGCGTCGGCACATTTCTCCGTCAGGCGGACAATGTCGCTCGTGTGCTTGAGGTTTTCCGCTCGGAGGTTGCGGACCGCCGTCGTCAGGGAGTCTCGCTGTTCTGCGTCGCGCTGCCAAAACAAAAACACCGTAGTTGTTAGCCCAGGGTAAGATAGCTGATGAGAGGGGAGCTGCTCCTGCAAGAAAGCCTTACGTCGCGCCGAATGATCAAGTCGTTCAAGATGCTGATGATGCGGCTTGCACTGTCCGGAGTGCCAAAGTATCCTCGCGGCCCAAAGTCGGCAAAGTCAATCTCGTGTCCATCGCGGAGAAGGCCTCTCGACAGCAGCTGGTTGTTGATATACAGCGAAGCGGTCCGGAGGTTGTCCGTATCAATCATGGTGAGCTGGGTGCAAGCAGCTCAGAGGCGCTCACTAGAGTGACGTTGAATGTACGTATGCAACTGGTTTTGATTGCCTTGACTGTGACTCTTCGGCGTCATTCCTCTGCTTCAAAGCTGCAAATCTCGGTGATGGTGGATTGGACCGCATTTAGCTGATGGTCCTATGCGACCAGGCGGGTTTCGGTTGCCATGTGGAGGGGAAGTAAACAATGCCCAAAGAGTGCATGACTAAGCCGCACATTAAGCGCCTGTCACTAGTACCTACGCTTACCTTATACAGTACGATGTAAGGTATCATCTTGCTTTCCTTATTACCGTACATAGTAGGTACAAAGGCAATATATCATGATGTCCAATGATTGAAATCAATAGGATACCATGCGCTGGATCGAGGATGGATATCCAACATGTTGTTAATTTTCTATATACATTGGGGGTATCATTGTCCACCTGCGTTCTCGCGGCACGAATTCTTCATGACTTGCCCCATTACTACCAGATGTTTACACACAAGTGAGCCAAAAGACGGTCTTCTGAACAGAGCAGCCAAAGCTGATATATTGTCCCACCCAGCCGCAAGCTGCCAGCAGGTGATGCCGTGCAGATAGTATTGCTCCACGAAAGCATCGTTTCGTGTCGAGCCATCCGAGCTCTTCGTTGATACGAGATAAGTATAAGTCCGTGTGTCCTGTACAAGGCATTAATACCCTTTTCGTCATCCTGTATCGCCCTGCACAAGAACTCATAGACTCTTTTTCCAAGCTTCAGAAAATTTTGAGAAGATTATTGTAGCGCGGTTTTTGTCGACAACAGCCGGTACAAGACTCAGGCGAACCCAAGTCCTTCTCAGCTTCTCGATGGCCCCGCGTGCGTCATCATGCTTGGGGTTGGCAAAAGAAGAAAAGAAGGAAAGCAAGGTCTCGACTTACTTCACAAGCACAAAGTTCGCCCATCTCACGTCTCGGGCTTGAATTTGCCTCTCTTTTCCCGCATGGCGCTGACCTTCTTCTTGTCCTCCTCGAACCGCTTGAGCAGCTGCGCCTGCTCTTGCTTTCGCCGTTCTCGCAACTGGAACCGGTAAAAGTCCGTCATCTCCGACTTCTTCTTGGCTGCCTTCTCGATCATCTTCCGCCTGGCCTCCTCGGCCTCGAACTGGTTCGCAGGAGCAGCCTTTCCGCCACGAGTAACAGTGACGAAGCCGTCCTCATCAGGCTCGTTGCGCAGCCGCTTGCTGAGTTCCGCAGCCTCCTTCTCCTTCCTGTTGAAGACGTTGAAGAATGCGTGAGTCGCCTTTTGTACCTCGGCCTTGTTGGCACGGCTCAGGCGCAGATGGGAGGCTATCCACGGTGCGCCCAGTGGCGGGACGTCGCCCACCATGTGTTCGCCCCATATGGGATACTTCATGGTCTTTTTCAGCTTGGCAACCGCCTTGAGGACGAGCTGCACGCTCTTCTCATCGGCGAACAGCGCAATTGCCGTGCTGCTGCTTCTGTGCAGCTGGCGCGTCCAGATTTCGGGTAGCCGCGCGGCTTCTTCCTCGGCCTTTTCCTCCTCCTCCACGTCGGCCCTCTTTCGCTTCCGCGCAAGCGCAGCAGCCTTGATCGCTCTGGCAGGGTCAATCGCAACCGCAGCCTTGTTGTCGCCCTCGAATGTGATTGACTCGAACCGTCCAGCACCCACGAGGAAGGTAAACACGGCCCTGAAATGAGGTTCTGTACTGTCCGCAGGAATGTTCTTGAGGAATAGACTGCGTGAATCGTTGGGGGTCGGAATCTTGGGAGCGTTTCTTCGTATCCGCACTTCGTGGACAGCCGTGTGTTTGAAAGACTGCACGGGCGGCATCTGGATGGGGAGAATGGCGAATTGATCGCCGGCTGCTTCGACAGCCATTTTGCAGAGATGTGTAGCACCCTCGTGGGGTGTGCGGCGCTCAAGGAAAGGAATTCAGTTGCATAAGGTGCGAAGACAAGCAGTAGGACGAAGTTTTGCGGAAGCTTGACAACTTGCTGAAGTCGAGAAAAAATCGGCTCCACTCTGCGTATCGATACGGACGGGTTGTGTCAGCCAGCAACTTGAAGGCAATTCCCACTTGACCAACAGGGAATCAACGGGAATATGCCACACATGTACCCAGCACGAAAGAGAAAGAAAAAAAAAAAAAAAAAAAAAAAAAAGGGAAGAGAGAAGCTTATTATGACTACATCTTGATGGAATTTCTTCAACGTGATGAAGCAAACCTAGTACTATTTTTCGCAAAAGGTTCCAACGTGCAAAACACCAAAAAATGACGAGAGTGGGACTCGAACCCACGCGGATTGCTCCACCAGGAATTGCTGTTAAGGTAGCCTTAACCTGACGCCATAACCAACTCGGCCATCTCGCCGTTCGATGAGAGACCTACCGTAAAAGTGCACTATGAGGCATCTGCACAGCGGCTTCTCAGAAATCCTCGACACTCGTCCTTCATTTCAGTCGAACATCCAACATGTCTCGCGAGGTATGGTGTTAATGCTTGACAATACTGATACTCTTGAAAGACATGAAAGCAAACAAATTCACTCAGAGACTCATCTACATACCATATACGGGTTTCCCCTTGCACAATCATGTAAAACTATCCGAGTTCTACACTTCAATCGCAATCCTTCCAACGCCACGACTAACACACGTCAACATGGCCGAACCCTTCTCCTCCGGCATCAGCGCCGACCCCCGATGAATCACCTCTCCGCTCTTGAGAGCCACCTTGCAAGTGCCGCAGTTGCCCACTTCGCAACTCGAAGGGATGTCCCCAAACTCTCGCTGAAGAACCTCCACGAGGCTCTCCTCCTCGCCCACCTTGACGACTTTGTTGTTTCTGTTGACGACCTGGGCTTCGAAAGGGTCGCCGGTGGTATCGGCGGAGAAGGCTTCAAAGTGGATTTCTTGGGGGGCAATGCCGGCCTTTTCGGCGGCGGCTCTGGCGGCTTCCATCATACGGTTTGGTCCGCATACGTACAGGAAGCTGTTCCACGGGATGGTCGTCATGATGTTGTCAATGTCCATCCTTTGGCCCTTCGACTTGTCGTAAATGAGGATTCTGTCCCCATACGACTCCAGCTGTTCTCGATAGGGAACATCCTCCGAGGACCGCACAGCATAGTGCAGTTGAAAGCTCCAATTGATGGAGTTGTATGTCTTCATGAGTTCCAGAAAAGCCGTGAGGCCAATTCCACCAGCAATAAAGACGTGATGGCTTGCGGCGCTTGCCGGCCCATTGAGATCGCTCACCACGCCGCCCACCTCAATGCCATCGCCCACTTTGACAGTCTCGTGGATATACCGCGAGCCGCCTCTGCTCTTCTCGTCGAGGGCAATGCAAAGCTCCAGCCTTCTGGCGGACTCGCCGTCTCCCTTGCTGGACACGACGGAGTATTTCCTCACAAGTCCATTCGCAAGCCGGAGCTTTGCGTGGGCGGCCCACGGGAAGCCATCAAATTGAGGCTTGATAGGAGCCTCGAGCACGACTGTAAGGGCCCGCGGCGTCTCTTTCTTTCGGCTGACGACCTTGTAGGTCTCCCAGGCCTCTTCCTTCTTCTGCTGCCTCCGTCTTTGTGCCTTGGCCACGCGGCTCTTGAATTGGCCGCGAGCCTCGGCGCCCAGCGCCTCTATCGCGGCCAGTTTCTCGTTCATCTCGTCATTGTCAGTCTGGCGATGCAGATATTCCTGGATACGCTCGATCGTCCATTCCGGCCACCTCCTCTCGACCAGCCTCAGCTCATCGCCGGGGCTCACATGGCCCTCCTTCAGGACCCGGTAGTACCATCCGGTGCGACTGCTCTTGTAAGTCTCGGGGGCAAAGTTCTTGAGCGAGAAGCGATGGTTGAGTTTGAAACACGGCTGCCGTGGGAGGGACACCTGGAGGACCACTTCGGGGCCGACAGAAATCACGTCTCCGATGCAGACATTCCGCTCGTTCATGTGCGCCGTGACAAAGTTTTCCCCAAAGCCTCCTGGGACGAATTTGTCGACGCGTTCGGGGTAAGATTCCTGCCAGGATGGGTAATGCGAGGAGCAATCTAGGCACTCTCGTGTTAGTCTGTTCATTTGGACAATGGGTTATGGAAACAATTTACATCCAAGAATGGCCTTGTCCAGGCCGCCGTGAAAAGTGAGATCATGTTCATCCCCTTCGAGCCCCAGCTTGTCGACCTTCATCGAGACGGTACGAAGCTCCTTGTCGATGCCAGACATGACGGCCAAGCCCGGCATTCGCTTCATTCCCGATGTGCGAATTTCGAGGAGCCTGTCGGCCTCGAAAGGCGCCGCGAGAGCTTTCAGATAGGAGTCTATCATTTTTTATTCACCAATATTGACCAAGAGAAATGTGTGGGATAGAGTGTTGAAAGGGGAGAAGAGTGACATCCAGAGGTGTAAGTGGGAATCCTACCAGAGAAATGTGCCTTACACGGAGTTGGGGTGTACAGTGTAGGCACTGTCAAGCCTTCGCTGGCTCTTGGCAGAAACGGGCAAGTTGTGGCGACAAGTTCCAGGACGCCATGCGAGACCATGTTCATTTTTTTTCACACGCAGGCATCGGGCATTTCGATCTCACCAATTCTATCTTGAGCGAGCGATGTGCATTTCATTGCAATGGCCACTGGTTATGAAGAAGCACAGAGATCCGTTCTGTCCTTCCCTACTCGGCCACTGCTGGAACGATTGCTCTCGGCGCACTGTGCTTTATCTTTGCGGTTAGACTCCCGAGCTTTCTTTTCTCCTTCATGCAACGCAGCGGTCGGCATTGTACAATTCGAGACAAGAATGCGTGCAAAGGGGCACAACGGTGAGTATCTTGCCTCGTTTTGGTTCATCTCAAATCCCGGAGACGTTGCGAACACACAACTATTGTCTGCCAGCAATCGCAGCGTGGTTGAATCTCTGTCACTCGAAAGAGCCCACGAGAAAGTCATTGGAAGCAGACAACGGTATCCTTTCTCCTGATCAATGTTTTAGACTACAGTTTGTGCTGGCAAAAAGGATTTGCACGGAGTCAGTGCATTCATTACCCTGGAATACTTGAACAATCGTAATTGTCGTTCGGAGAGGCAAAGGTGTATAGGACGAAAATTTGGAAAAATTGGTCATTGATTGAACCTTGACGGTTCTATGGTCTAACGGTTATGACTCCGGATTTTGATTCCGGCAGCGAGGGTTCGACTCCCTCTAGAACCTTTTTTTTTTTGTCCCTTTTCGTCCTTGGACGTCATATTGTCTTTTATCTGTTGGTTGGATTGAGCTAAAAGCTGGGCTTATGCTGGTTCAATCCACTTGGCCTTTGTATGTCCAAGCGTGGCTCGGTCATTCTCATTCTTCACCGAATCTTATTACTCTCTAGATACTTGCTGTAAGGTATCTTGCAGTGAGTTTGGGGGTTCTGATGACTCAAAAGACGTCCGAATAATTACATGTCAGCAACTCAACGGAACCTCTCACTTCTTCTCCGTAAACCGCAAACAAAGTCACATCCGAATCAGTCATGAAGAGCAACTGCCGGTTTTCGGCCCCGAAATGGACTCTGCGGGTCGGCATATCGACTCCGGGGGGTTGATACCCCGCGCTGCATGCCGATTCCATCCGGCCACTTCCCCGGATCTTGCCTTATATATCATTGTGTAAGATAACATGAACCTTGCCATATGATTCATACAAGTCTTGTCTTTCTTGACTCCCGTCACTCTTGATTCAGCATCAACAACAACAACACATCGTCGTGATTAACCAAAAAGACCACCACCACCATGCGCCTCCCCTACGTCCCCGACCCTCCCCCAGCCTCCACCCCCCAAGACGCCGCCATCGTCCAGCGCATCCGCGACCGGCGCGCCCCCCGCCCCCTGCAAGCCCTCGACCTCACCCTCCTGCACTCGCCCCCCGTGGCCGACGGCTGGAACTCCTTCCTCGGCGCCATCCGCACCCGGACGTCCCTCGCCGCCGACGTGCGCGAGCTCGCCATCTCCCGCGTCGCCGTCTGCAACAAGGCCTGGTACGAGTGGGCCCACCACGCGCCGCTCGCGGTCCAGGGCGGCGTCAGCGAGCAGGCCTTGGACGTTGTCAAGAGGGATGCGCTGGGGGCGGCGCGGCCGGAGGGCTTGTTGAGCGAGAGGCAGTGGGCGGTGCTGGTGTATGCGGACGAGATGACGAGGAATGTGCAGGTCAAGGATGAGACGTTTGCGTTGCTGAAGGGGCTTTTCAATGACCAGGAGGTTGTGGAGATTACAGCGACAGTGAGTTTGACTTGAGACGATATCTTTGTTATGGACATCTTTTGATCTGATATGTTGCGTTATAGGTTGCTGCTTATAACTGTGTGAGCAGATTTCTGGTTGCTCTGGATGGTAAGTTCAATCTCATCATGAGATTCAGTTGTTGTACCTGTGGCTCTGTTCTAATGCTGCATATAGTGGGTGAAAAGAATGGCACTGGCCCAGATGCTGCTCATTGATATGGGGAGTTTTTTTCCAAGAAGCTGAATACCCAGTTGTTGATACGATAGGGGAAAGGGGAAAGGGAAAAGAAAGACGATATGAAAAGAATTATGCGTGAAGACGATTCTTGATTAGTGAAACATGACTAGCCATGATACAGCGTAAATAGCTGCAGCTTTGATGAAATGAACGAAGATGGATTAAAGGGGTATTCTACCCAGTTGTTAAAGCGCAAAAAAGTAGGGGGCAAAGAGTCCATCGTAGAACTTCAGAATTCATCATTCATATCTCGTATCCCATATCCGCAAGCGCCTCGAAAATGACCCAATCGTTCCTCATAAGAATACCATCATTTCTCTCTCATACGTCGTAAGTCAAGCTTGCTGTTGAACACTTGTTCCCGCTTATCAAGTAGTTTCTCTCAAGGCGTTGTTGCTGGTGGTGTCTTGCATCATTGGAGGAGGTCATGGCCATGTCATCATAAACTTCTACAGTCTGCATTCCGTTGGGTTGGTGTAGGGGCGAAGTAGGTGCAGGTGCCATATCAAGGCGGTCGGTTGCTTTTGCGCAGAACTTGAACAAAGTCGGAATGATAGAAGGGATTTGATCAAGGAACAGATGGAGCCGGCCCCAATCAGGCATGAGAAACCATGTGATGTAAGGGGCTCTGCTTCTAGGGTGACGAATCCTCCATGAGCTTCTCGATGGAGGCATGCCGTGCCCGCATCCGCGGAGACATCTGCAACTCCTGGACGACCCCAGCCCAGCCACTGCGCTGGGGTGTCTCGACCTGCTCGTTGTGGCCGATGGCCTGGGTGGTGAGTCTCCGCGCAGGCGTGTGCCGAGGGAACTCGTCAAACGACTTCTTGGCCGACGGCTTGGTAGGCGTCGTGTAAGTGGCCTTGTCCGGCTGCTGTCGAGGCATTGGCGGCGGAGGTGGAGGCGGAGGAGGAGGAAGTTTTTCCGCGATGGAGGTTATAATGCCAAGATAGACCATCATGAAGCGTATGCGCAGCGTGTCTAGGCGCTTGACTCTCTCCTCCAGCTGCGCTCGCTTCGACGCCCACATGAGCCTCGAGCTGGTCCGCAGCGTCGTCGCGGCGCCCTCCTCGAGCACCAGGCGGCCCAGCTCGTCACGCAGGTCCTCGCCGACCCTCTGGATCTCCCTCAGCATGCGGCTGAGCCGGATCTTGTCCTCGAGCCGCTGCACCTTGGAGATGTCCTGGCCGTAGCCCTCGTCCTCCTCGACGGAGAAGTCGAGGCTGTCGATCAAGCTGGCCACCTCCTGCGGCGCAACGCTGTACGCCGTCCAGTACGAGTTGGCGGTTTGGGCAATCATCACGATGGACATGCCAGTGGCGGTGGTGGCCAGGAGATAGGCCCACTGGAGCCAGCCCGACTCGGCCATGATGCTGCAGCGGAGGGCAACGGAGCACAAGTCGTGATGTCGTCCTGGAGGGGCAGAGGCATGGTCTGGAGGGAGGAGGCAGTGCTCTGGGAGGCGAATAGAGGAGATTCGACCCGCGACAAGCTTCTGCAAGGGCATCAGTAAGGGCCCAGCTATGACGAAGGGAACATTTTTGGTTGGGGAAACGGAAGAAGGAGTGTCACATGGATATTGTCGTACAATGATCTCATGGCTGCGGGAAGCTGGAACTGGATGAGCTTGGGATTGATGCGGTTTGTTCGCTTATACTTACCTGAGCCACGGGAGTTTCCTGCGGTCTGATAAGGTCCTTTATATCAGTCAAGGCATACTTTGAAGATGTCAAATTTGATCTGAAGCATCATGATACTTCACATTATCTCGTCATTCTCTGACGCATCCAGAAGACGCAGCCCTGCAGAAACCCGGGCCGCAGTCCAGTCCACAATTGACAGACTAGGTATCCAGTGACTTGCATCTTCAATGCCTTCCTCCTGCATATCGGCTTCATTCTTGCGGCTCTACTGTAGGTATGTATGTATATGCTGCTGCGCCAGTCCTCGACCCCAACCAATGACATCAGACAGAACCCCTCGCTTTCAACCCCACCACAGTGCGTGCATGTGGGCAATTTTTCTTTACGCCATGATTTTCCCTTGACAGCTTTCCGGGGCCGCTGACTGCAATGGACATGTACCCTGCGATGACCTGCAGACTCATCGCAGCGGCTGTCTCGTCCATCTGTATCTGTAGTACGGAGTAGTATTACTACATTGTGCCTTGCTTAGTAGTTGCGGCAGCGGCTGGACTACCTTATCTTATCCGGGACTGCGCCCAAACCGCCCTAAACCTCAACTCTTCTTCTTCTTCTTCTTCTCCTCCTCCTCCTCCCTCCCCTCATCACACGCTCCTCCAGCCGCCGCCATGACGGCCACCGCCGCGGAGGCTGCGGTGCCGCCTGAACATGAGTTCCCGCTGCCCAAGATCCTCACCAACCCCGCGTCGACCCCGCCAACCCTCATCACCCAGGGCGCCGAAGGCCGGCTCTACAAGACGACGTACCTGCTCCCGCACATCCCCTGCGCCCTCAAGTACCGGCCGCCCAAGCCCTGGCGGCACCCGGTCCTCGACCAGCGCCTGACCAAGCACCGCATCCTGTCCGAGGCCCGCATCCTCTCCAAGTGCCGCCGCGACGGCCTCCGCGTGCCCGACGTCTACGCCCTCGACGAGGCGGCCGGGTGGCTGATGCTCGAGTGGGTGCAGGGCACGCCCGTGCGCGTCAACATCAACCAGCGGCTGGGCAGCAGGACCGAGGGCATCGAGGACGACGAGGAGCTCAAGGACCTGATGCGCAGGATTGGCGCCGCCGTGGGCAAGATGCACAGCATTGGCGTGATCCACGGCGACTTGACGACGAGCAACATGATGCTGAAACCCCCCGCGCAACAGACAGATGATGCGACCGGACTCGAGGGCGAGATTGTCATTATCGACCTGGGACTCGCCAGCGGAGGTGTTCACGACGAGGACCGAGCTGTAGACTTGTACGTCCTTGAACGGGCCTTTGGGAGCACGCATCCCCGCGCCGAGTGCATCTTTGGCGAGGTCCTCGACGCGTATAAAAAGTCGTTCAAGCAGGCCGGCGTGGCGCTCAAGAAACTAGAAGACGTGAGGATGAGGGGGCGCAAGAGGAGCATGCTTGGTTAGAAGGGGGACATGGCGAGTCGAAAGCAAGCAAAGAGGCAAGCTCAAGATTTGAAAAAGGCAAAAGCCTTCTTCTTATTTGTCCTTCTCGGTAATCCAGAGAAAGAAGGAGAGCATATTTGGTGATATATAGACAGCTCCCCTGTAAATGATGCCCGCTATTATATGATATCCGTATGGACAGAAACCGAATCAAACAAAAATCAAAAAGTATATCGCTTTTAGTGATACAGACAGAAACATGGTATCCAAGCTCCCCCTTCCTCTTCCTCTTTTCTTCAAGCAAGCTCAGCTCCCGCAAAGTAGCCCTTGTTCTCAATGACGCCGCGGTCCTTGACAAGCGCAACATAGCGCACCACCCACTGCGGCGTGAGCTCGCCCTCAAGCCCGGCGCCGCCGTGGGCCGCATCCGCCAGCACGCCCGCGCCCTGGGGCCCGTGGCCGAGCAGCTCGCGCAGGGTGCCGCGCGGCAGGATGTCGGTGCAGTCGGTGTGGACGTGAAGCTCGACGCCCTCGTCCTCGGCGAGCCTCTTGAGCGGCGCGGGCACGTTGCAGCAGTCGCGCAGGTTGACCTGGTCGACGGCCGGGCGGACGCGGGTGCGCTCGAGGAACGCGCGCAGCTTCTCGCTGCCGAACTCGGCGACGCCCAGGCGCTTGACCAGGCCGGCGGCGTGCAGGTCCTCGAAGACGCGCCACGAGGCCAGCTCCGCCTCCAGGTCGCCCTGCTGGGCGTTGATGCGCTCGGCCGCCTTCTCGCAGGTGCCCTCGAAGGACATGCCGGGGAAGGAGACGATGAGCAGGTCAATGGTCTGGATGCCGAGCTCCTTGCGCACCAGGTCGAGCGCCTCGCGGGCGTACTGCTCGCGCTCGGCGACGGGGGTGCCGGGCAGGAGGAACAGCTTGACGGTGATTTCGTAGTCGCCGGGGTCTTCGCGCAGACCGGCGGCCTGCCAGTCGATCCGCGGGATGTAGAGCGTCTTCTCGTCCCGCTCCGTCCACAGCTCGACGGGGGTCTGAGGCGGCGAGGGAAGGGTGCCGGAGCCGTCGGCCGGGGAAGCGTCGGGTGCGTAGTCTAGCCTTGTGGAGTGGATGTTGTCTCGGAGGGCATTGACGAGCTCGAGGTTCGATTTGGAGTGGCCGCCACCTTTGCGGATGATGGAGGGGCCTGCGGACATGACATTGCTGCCGTACTCATGCTGATATTAGCGAGATGGTAAAGGGAAAAGAGAGAGAGAGCCAGTGTCATTGTTCCCGCGGCTGGACAAGAAGAGAGACGAACCCCGTAGACAGGATGATCTTGGTCATTGTGATGGCGATCTGAGTGTCCCTGTGAAAGGTTTGCAATGGGAAGTGAAACCTTGATGGACAACTTTGGAGAGAGAGGAGGGCGGAAGAACCGTGCTCTTGCTCTATGATATACCTTCTTGCAGATTCAGAGCACCGACCCGGTTCCCGACCTTTATATTGCGACCAACAACTTTTTTTTTCTCCTCTCCCGCGCTCTTCTCGAGATGCCTAACTAAATGTGATCGTAATCTTCCGTACTATTTACTCCAGATGGCGCTTGTGGCGGATGATAAAGGGTATTACTAATAATGGGCAGGTCGGGCGGAGTGGATATCAAAGGATCGAGGGTTCTTTGTTTGCTTGTGTAAGAGATTTTTTTACCTTGATCTAGTCAGGAGGTAGTAGCAGCAGCAGCAGCTGAAAGTGCGGTCTTGAGGGTATGCTTGAGCGCGTTGGAAGCAATAATGGCGACATCGGGGGATGGTGCTTGGTGGAGGAGGGGAAAGGGTGATATATGTGCCGCCGCCCTCTTTGTGGCCGGCTGTTATTGCTTGTATTGTATGTATGATGTTTACATGTGCTTGTGACGTTTGGAATCTCCCCACCTGCTTCAACATTGAATGGTAAGGTAGTGCTCATCGAACGTCGTACTCTTGTCCTTCTCGTTCTTCTGTCCTTGTCTTCCGGCATTCACAAGCCATCTTATTGTTTCGAATAGACCTTGAGGAGTTGTCTTGGTAGGAAAAGTCCCCTGATTAGAGTGCTGTTGGAATGGACTTTCAGTCGTCGATGGAAGTCAGCGAAGCCACGCGGGGTTGATTGACCCTTCCCAGTCCCTTCCGGCCGGTTGGCTCAGATGCTCGAAAAGGACAAGGCTCTGGTTTAGCACCACTGTCATTTGTCCGGGCGACCAAGACGGGCGAGGGGCATAAGCGCAGTACCAGTACGTGGAGCGCCAACCTATCACGGTACTGGTGTCAAGTACTGACTACTTCGCCCACTGTACCTACAGCAGCCGCAGCGCAGTGCAGTGGTTCAGGTTCCGTCCAGTCCCATTGGGTTGAGGCTCCGTCCCGCCAGCACGCGCTACTGCCTCGTCACCGACCTGCAAACCCTCAGCAAGGCCATACAGACACCAGCTCAACTCTATTCAGACCGCATCTCGTCTCTCGCCTCCAACCGTCATCGGCTCGCGCTCGGTGATGTGAGAGAGAGCTGTCACAATGGCGATCCAGTGCGTCCACGCTTCTGCCGCGCTCCTCGAAGTCGGACTGATGCTGACTCGCATCTTCTAGCTACTTGATTCTGCTGTCCCGTCAGGGGAAGGTGGTGCGTTGCTCCCCGTTGCTCCCATTGCCCTCGACATCGATTGCTGGCGATGGAAAACGACTCCTGGTTTATTGTGAAGATGCCCTGCTGACCCTCTACTCTTCTCGCCAACAGCGCCTCGCCAAATGGTTCACCACGCTGTCCCCCAAGGACAAGGCCAAGATCGTCAAGGACGTATCACAGCTGGTCCTCGCCCGAAGAACTCGCATGTGCAATTTCTTGGAATACAAAGGTGCGCTGCGAACGCCTTCATACATGTGGACCCTGTCGCTGCATGACATTCGTAGCTGACACGCATCCGCCATCGTCCAGACACCAAGATTGTATACCGACGATACGCATCGCTCTTCTTCATCGCCGGCTGCTCATCCGAAGACAACGAGCTCATCACCCTCGAAATCATCCACCGATACGTCGAGCAGATGGACAAGTACTACGGCAACGTGTGCGAGCTCGACATCATCTTTTCATTCACAAAGGCATACTACATCCTCGACGAACTGCTTCTTGCGGGAGAGCTACAGGAGAGCAGCAAGAAGAATGTGCTGCGCTGTATCGGACAGCAGGATTCACTGGAAGACATGGAGGTAAGTGGTTTTTCGCACTTCGTCTTGACTGCTGCATCGCCCGACTCTTGGCGCGCGCCTCCGGCATGATACGTTTCTTGCTATCTCGTTTCTCGACTACGGCAATGCGACGTGACACAGCTGACACCGAGTTTCCTCACACCCAAAAGGTCGAAGATGAGGTCACCAAGCTCATGTAATTACGACAATCACGACGAGATGGCTACGCATCCGCGCAGCCTTGGCCGAGCGATCCGTTCTCACCGACTAGTATTCGAAACCCGCCCGCTTCCTGTCACCAGCTACATACCACACAACAAAAGCCCCCCTCCTATCGTCCCACCAGCTGCTTGGAGTCATGAAGGCGCAAGAGTTGAGATGGACCTGATAGTTAACACTGGCGTAGCAGGCCGAGCAGATCGCTGAGAAGCTTCGCGATGTGGGAATTCTCTGATACACAAGTCTCAGAAGGCTGAGCATCTCTTCGACGGGAAGGGAAGACACAATGGCGAGAAGGGGACATGGAGAGTCATGTGGAGTGTGTCGGGAGAGAGAGAGAGAGAGAGAACATGGCGTTATTTCCTTTGTGTTTATAGATCTTGGAGGATGGAAAACCATCCTCTCCCATGTCAAGAGAAAGCAGAAGCAACCCGTGGATGTCCCATTATCTGGGACCAATGCCTCGGAGTCGGCGGACGTTGTGTGCCGGCAACCATGGGCAAGGATGATGAGGACTTGGCCTTTTTCCTTGGAGGCGTGAATCTAATGTACCAGGAGCCGCGAAGACAGACGGAAGAACTGCGAAGCAAATCCAAAAAGATTTACCCACGTCATTGAGTCCCGTTCAACCTGCTTTACACAATCGTCTCTCACTCGGATCATCACGTTACAAACCAGACGCCTCATCGTGTCGATTGTCGCGCGTGGCAGCTCCATGAGCCGTTATTCGTCGCAGGGCCGAAGCTGACGCCGACAAATGGGCTCGCCAGAACCGCCCACTCCGTCAACCTGGGCCCCCTCTTTTGCCGGCGCCATGACTAGCAGCGAGCATCGCCATGCTGCGGTTCTTCTTACTGGCATGCTGGCGGCATTAGTATACCGCTCCTATCGTCTGACTGCAGTCCACACAGCCGTTGCCGGACGCAGCCGACGCGCGATCGGACTCGGGGCATTCAGGAGAGGCGACGCACCCGCACCGCCATGGAAGCAAGCCCAGACAACGTGGGCGCTGCACGAAATGGCGATGGACGTGCTGGCGCAGCCGGCTCCTGTGTAGCCTCAGCCCGATCAGCAAGAGCTCAATTCGAGAGGGCCCAAGCAATTGTCGACAGGCTGGAATTGAGCCCGGTTCGAGGTGGTTGATTGATTGTCTCAATCGTTCGCTCATCACGGCTACAGGCGGTGCGACAACGCTGCTCTAGCGCCCCAGCGCCCCTATCGCTCCCCGGAACTACAGCGAGTCCAGCGATCGCATTCCCCCCCCCCACCGGCTGCAGCAGAGCCCCCCCACCATCTGCCGACTCGGTGCCAAGTTGATGTCACTGCCAACCGCTGATGAATGCGTGTCAACCATTGACTTGAACCCCCCCGACCCGGCTCCTGGCCATCCCATGCACTAACCAAGGCGAACTGCAGTCCATCTCACGCTCTGCTCTGATCCTGTTTCCAATCTGCTTCCCCCCCCTTTCTTCTATCTATCCGGTCTTCATCCAGCCGAATCAGCTGCTCTTTAGCGTCGACAACCGGCAACCAGTGCCTGCCGGCCCTCGACCCTGTTATTAGACTTCACATTCTCGAGACTTGCCGCATCATCGCCAAGCCCTCATCCCTCCTCCTCCTCCTTCTTTCTCCTATCATTGTCCTCCCCTCGGACTACAACTACTACCAAAGCAATCGCTCTACTTCATTTGACAGCATTCGACAGCAATCGACAGAGGCTCTGTACCGCCTTCGTGTCGCATCACCGCTTCCCCCTGTTTCGACTTGATCGACGTGCGGATCCGCGACCACGCAACTCCCCAAAAGAGAGGCGCTTCAATTAACAAAGCATCGCGGCCCGACCTCGTTCTTTGGAGTCGTCTCTTTGCGCGCAGCACGACCACCTGACCGAAGCGACACTACATGATTCACTCTTAATCATACCCGCTCGAAGACGCCTCATACATCATCCCGCCGCATTCACCGCTCATCTCTCGGAGAGCCAGCCTCGACGCTCTTCACATTAATCACCGCACATTATCTCTCGACACTGGCTCTTCCCCGTCATCTATTAATGCAGAATCACAGCAGCATCTGTCAGCCAACATGAAGGTGAGCGGCATTATCCAGACGCACGCAGCTCAACTCCGACCTGAGACAACCCCGATGCTGACGAGACATCCCCGCCGCAGTACCTCCCAGTCCAAGAGTTCGAGGCCGTAACCGGCGCTCTCAACTTCAACACTCCCGACTGCAACGTTACGGGCGGATGCGATCTGTACACGACCAAGTCCACCGGATCCGACAAGAAACTCTACAAGAACATCGACAAGGACCTCAGCTCCCAGCATGCCGCGCTGCTCAAGCTGGGCGCCAGCCTGTCACCCCCCGACCGGGAGCACATGCTCGCAACGTCGCGCAGCATGCAGCTCTTCTCACACTCGAGCGCATTTGGCCCGCTGTCCGAGCTCTCCAGCCGGCGGACGTTTGCTTACCTGATTGCCACGCTCAACGCCAGCCACCCTCACTACGACTTCTCCCACGTCCTGCGGCCCGGCGACTTTAAGCGGGAGCGGAATCTGAAGCGCGTCATGGCCAACCTGGACTCGATCCTGCAAAACACGCGGCCTGGGGTTGAGATCGGCACCTCGTATGATTCCTCAGTGGGCAGTGACGTAAACGCTCAGTGGGGGCCTCACTGCTGGGCTCTGATCAACAAGGAGATGCGCCTGAACGAGTGCACCATCTTCAGCTACCACCCAGAGGTCGACCCCTTTGAGGAAGACGAAAGCGCCATCTGGGCGGTGCACTACTTCTTCTTCAACAGGGCGCTCAAGCGAGTCGCTTACCTCTACGTCCGCGTCGTGCCCGTCATATCATCACAGAGCCCGACCCTGCGGCCCGCCAAGGGTGGCCTCCACAAGCGACACACGGCGCTTGAGTCGGACGGCGCAAAGAAGCGCGCCAAATACTGGCTGGGCGATCAAGACGCCGAGCTGATACCGCCGTACGAGGACGACGAGGAGCCATTGGATGATGGCCTCTACTGGAACCGTGGCGAGGATGGCGACATTGTCCAGTTCTCAGACGACGACATGGCTGAAGATGAGCCCATCGATGAGGACGAAGACGAAGAAGATGATGATGACGACGATGACGAAATGATAAGTCCAAGGAGAGAGAGGCTCATGAGTGAGGACATTGCAGGACGGATGGAGATTTAAGCTGGTCAGGCTTAAATCGACGAGACTGACACTCAGCCTGGTCCCCTTGTGGGATCGGGGAGACTACCGTGTCTTTTCAACAAGGATTCGCGCCTGAGACATGACAAAGATTGGCCAGATCGTCCTCCAGAGATGAAATACTCTACCAGTATATCGCCCTGGAGCTGCATCTACTCCTGGCTTTGCCGATCATGAGGATGACGAGTTGCAGCCGCAAATGCTCTTCTCCAATCTCTCCACCTCTCTCTTCTCTGCCTGCCTTGTGCTGTTTCATTTGGAATCGGCTTCATGGGCTTCTTCTGCCCATCGCCTTCTGCTTTTCCTACGATTATGGTGTGTGTGTGTGTGTGTGTGTCATTTAGCGTGGCGCAAGGGTCTGGTTTCTGGTCGGTGAGAGCGGCTGGGAACATCGTCGCCGGGAGTTTGCTTTTATGGTTGCCGTTTGGCCTATCGTCAGCATCGTTTCATGAGGTTTCCTCTCTCCACCACCTCTTTTTCTATCACCTCTTTTCTCTCACTTTTCAAATTCCATGTCGTGACGCGCATTTGGTTTTGGAAATATCGGTGGCCTCTGTGAGATGGGTGGCTACCTCTCTTGTTGCTTCGTCTTTGTTTCTCTCTTCCTTTTTATTTTTGCCCCGAGCTTGGATTCGGTAATCAATCCTTTCTGGACTCGATGCCCTCTCCCAGCATTGTTTTTCATACGCGCCCTTTATTCATGACTTTTGTTTCTTTCAAGTCCTTTCTTCTCTGTTTCCGAACTTGATTCCGCTTTCGGGGGAATTGGGCGGTTTCAAACGTACATATATGGTTTTAACGCGGTAATGGCTTTCGATTGCGCCTCGCTGGGGAACATATCAACATGGGATATTCTGGTAATACGTTTATAAGCAGCTTCAACTTTTTCGCTGTGCGATGGGGGGAAGGGCTTTTTATGCAGTTTTGGTTGTTCAATGTATCAATGCTCCATCATCTTTCCTTGAAGCGTTCTAAATCTCGTAGTGACTGGAGGATGTCGTGAAGATTGAAATGATGCCGTAAAGACTGGCTGCTTTGATCAATTAGGTTCGTAACTTGGGGATAACAACTCAAAGTTCTCTACACTTATTCTTCAACTCAGCAACAACACAAGAAATGCAGCACGAGCCATGTATTCATCTATATAACGCAACTCGACGGAGCTAAATGGAAAAAATCTCGCAGAGAAGAAACGAACAAAAGAAGAGGTATGATAAACAGCAAAATGGCCTTTGCTTGTCCGTCGTCCAGAAATAACAAGACGTAACGAGATCATTATCAAGCGGCCCTATATCTCGACTTGTATGCCCACCGTCTCCGTTGTTGAATATATCGGGTATCAGTTATGTAAGATGTAATCAAGTGAAAAGAAGATAATGTCAAGAGCACGCTGCCGCCCAATGCCCTATCCAATCTCCATAGATTGGACCATTATATGAGTACCCATCTGCAGCACAAGTACGGGGTGAAATGCTTTCGAGGAATAGGAAAAAAACCGCAAATTATAGTACGGAAAGGCGGAATGGAGTGCGCGAGGTCATGCCTTGGAATAATAATAACAGGAAATGGTACCAAGAAAGGAAGCTCAAAAATGTAAATCTCGACATCTCGGCTCAAGCTACCGACGCCTTCCGTCTCCGCCCAAACATCTTGGAAAATCCACTGGGCTCATCCTGCTGGCTGGCAGTCTTCGGAGGAACAAACTCCGGCGGAGGCTCTGATTCGCGCAGGAACTTCGCCAGGTCTCCCGTCTCGCCCATGAACGCAGGCTCCCGGGGCTCGAATCGCTTCATCGTGACTCGGCTCACAGGAGGTGGCCGCTCGATGGAGGCTTTCCTCACCGGAGGAGGTCGATCCATCGAGGCTTTGCTCACAGGGGGAGGATTTGTGCTGATCGGCCCGTACTTATCGTACCCCGGCGGCATCTGGATCGGCGTGTACTTGCTGGCGAGTCCCACGCGGCTATTAAGCGAACGGACATCGTTGGTGAAGCCCATGGCGCCAGCGCGGCTGCTAATTGATCGAGAGTCAACCAAGGTATTGGTTTCCTTGGAGCCGCTGCGAGTGAAGCGGCCGATTAAACTGGGCGTGCTCGTCTTCTTCTTGGGCGTTTGCATGGACAAGGCTGGGGGCGGCGGCGGCGCAGGAGGAGGTTCGCAGTTCATCAGAAACTCCGCCAAACTCTCTTCTTTCTTCGCGGGAGGCCTGGGGGCAATGTCAAAGTCGTCCTCGTCCTCGTCCTCGTCGCTGAAGTCGATTGCGTATGGATCGCGAACACGGCGGGTCTTTCGCACAGGCATGGGCATGACCATGTCATCATCTTCTTCTTCTTCTTCGCCAAAAAGCTTGCTCGCCTTTGACCTGCCCTGGTTCTTGAGAAGGGCGGAGCTGGAATTGATGGACGAGTGTACCGACGGCATCGAGTTGTCCGTGGAAGCCTGGCTATGCCGCATGTCGGGGAGAACCGCATCCACTGCTCGGCCACCTCCAGCACCAGACATCATCTCCAGATCCATCGTGTTGCGGAAGGGAGCCACATGCCGGGGGATGTGGTTCTGGCTACCCGGGATGGGTGGGCCTTGGCGGATAAAGTCAATCAGATCCGAGTTGTCGTTTCTGCTGGTAGCAGCGGCCTCTCGGGGCTGGTAGCGATTTCGGTTGGTATTGCGACTGGCCATTGTAGAAATGGATTGCTGGGACTCCATAAAGCTCTTCGTCGAGGTGACGGGATTGTGAACATTGCGCTGAGCTGCAGGCGCTCTGTCGCCCGGAGGACCTGTAGATTTGAGGAAGTCGGCAAAGTCTGAAAGCGATTCGCCGGGGGCGCGAGCATCACGAGCCTGAGAACCGCCCATGCGACCAGACAAGGAGGTAGCTCCCGGCGGGGCCCGAGGAATTGGTCCAGAGAGTTTGGGCTTGTTCTCCGGAGGGACCTTGGGGCTAGAGGGCTGCGTCCGCGAGTTGGAGGGTGAGGCCTTCGAAGGGGTCGGTGAAGTTCGCATCATATCTTCACTCTTCCGCGTGGCCTTGGTCACAACCGGACTGTCATGAGGAGTCGGGACCTAGAGAAAGCGTCAGCAAAATAAAGCTGTTGAGTATAATGACAAGACAGAGAAGGAAGTACATACATCAATATCACGCATATTCTCGGGAGTCAACGTGTATGTGATGGTTTGGTTGCTTTGAATGAGCTCTTCGAATGTGCGCGCCATGCTCTCCGCACGGCTCGAAGCGTCGTCAGAGATGGTCCTAACCGCTCTGAACCGGCTCGAGGATGTGGATGAGTTGGACGTGTGGATCGGGCGAGTGGGAACGCCGGAGCTCAGCGACGACGTAGCCTCCTCGCTCTCTTCCGGCACTGTCTGTTCGGCTGCGGGCCTGGGAGATTGTCGACTCGAATACGCGGCGGCCCTATAAGGGACATCTGAAAACTGGGTATCGGTGGCGCTTTTGGTGGCTCTCAACGACTCTCCTCGGGCACCATGGTGAGCCTGGTCGCTTTGGGCAGCCGGCCGATCAGCTGTCCACATGTTCGTCTGCAAGCCATGTGGAAGGCGGCCGAGCTGATCTCGGGTTCGAGACGATGATATGGGCGTGATAGTAGGGCTCACTTGATCAGTGTCCTCGTCAGACTCAGAGATGGTTTCCGCGCCCAGAATCGTTGGTCTTGTCCTCTCTACGGGCGACCTTGCGGCAGCCACGATCACTGCCGTCCGGAGGCTGGTGTCGATTGCCTTGGCCGTCCGTAGCTCGTCGGCGCCTCCCGCGCGCGACAGAGGGCTAGAGCCAGAAACGGTCTTTGCGCGCGGCCGCTCAGCCAATTCCTGCGATGATGGACGAGTGGTGACGGGGCTGCGGGGTGGTACGTCGATGAGGCGCGCAGAGCGTACACTCGAAGACCGACTCAGATGCAGAACCTTACCCGAATCTGAGGCGGAACGAGAGGAAGTGCTCGAGATAGACACCCTCGATGAAGTCAGGATCTCGGCCTTTTCGTAGACAAGCTCATCCAGGTCGTCTGAGCCGCTCTCATCCGAGTCACGGGCTTTCTTGGAAATGCTCCCCTGGTTCTCGGGAGTTGCATCTGCCTCCTTTGGCTGCGCGGCATCGCTCTCTGCTTCGGTAGGCTTGGAGCTCGGGCGTGCTGTCGCATAGAAAACCGACCCTCTGGTCGGCAGGGAGGTAGATCTCCTGTGAAGGCCAAGCAAGGTGGCGTAGTGACCCGACTCCGAAGCCAGAGAATTTTCGATTAGGGAGGTTGTACCAGCGAATGACTTGATGCGGCGCGCGTCAAAGTCTTCTTCTTCCGTCTCGTCCTCCTCTTCTTCGTCACTGTAGTGGGCCAATCCCGGCACCTCAATCTCAGCAATGTCATTGTCCCCCATAGGTAGCGGAATGTTCATGGGAAGAACTTCCTCTACAATGGCATTTTCTGGCTGATCGCGCACCTCCGCAGGGCTGGCCTCATCTTCAGTAGCACGAGGCTTGCGATCGTTGACGCCGTTGGCGAGGCCATCTGTTATCATGTGGCTTATATGGGGAGATCGGCCGGGAGCGAACTCGGCCACCGGCGCACGCAGCCTCTTCTTCCATCCTCGCCACAAGCGACCAAGGGTTCGGTCGAGCGCGACTCGTTCCATGTCGACATCCTCCACGACGATTCTTTCGACGATGGCAGCGGGACTACGTGATCCATCCTTGAGCTCCCTCTCCAGCCTGGACCGCATTCTCTGGCTGGCCGCCTGCCCTGCAACAGTGAGCGTGAGCTCGCCGATGTATTCCAGGACTGAAGTCAGGAAGATGGCCACGGCAGGCGAGATGATGACGGAGGCCTGTTCGTTCTCGCCCACTTCGAGATGTTCTTGTTTCATGTACTTGTCTTCGTCCTCTTCCTCCAAGTCTCCTAGAGAGGAGTAGACCATGCACCGCAATCGGGCTCGCTTCCAGGCCAGCACAACATCCCAGTCTTGGGCATTCGGACTCTGAGGGTCGGTAAATTCCTCATCCTCAGAGCCACCAATGTACTCCTTCAATTCTTCATCGGCATTGGTTATGGTTTCCTTGGCCAATTTGGGCTTGAGCACATCCGAGACGGCTGGTCGCAGCGCAGAGAGGGCAGTCGACCTGGCAACTTGCAGGAAGTTTAGAAGTAGCTGGTCGAGGAAGCTGTTGACGAGCTGCAGGGCGGCGGGGGATATCAGGGCTGGTTCCCTCGAGGGCACGACGCCATGCTCCTCGTACCAGGGATTTGGCTGTCCGTCGTGGTCGTTGGTTATGATCTGGGAAGCTGCAGTGGAAGCGATGAAGGCGGCTTCTGGCGATACAGACAGCGGAGGCGCGAAGAAGGCGTGGCTCGCAGTCGAAGGCCTATCGCTCGAGATACTGAGTGACCGCGATTGGCGCGAATTCCTGTCGCTGGAGATGCTCTGCGAGCGCACCTGGCGCGACGAGTTGACGCTGCTCGTCGGGCGCGACTCGACGGCTGAGCCCGTCATGGCTGAGGCTGGGTATCTGTCGGATGTGGTTGTGAAGACTCCGTGGCTTGCCTCTTCCCTTTGTTTCTCGCCCATCACCTTTCCCGGAAAGGCTGGGTGGTGTGTAGCACGGAATCAGCGTAGGGAAAGAAGAAGAAAAGAAAGGCCAGGAGAGGATCCGTCTCGGAATTTTTGCAGTTCGTCGGCAGGCGATGGGGATAGGCGACGAGGAGAGTAGTGCGACTAGGTACCTAGCTATTCGTGGCAATGGGGCCGTTTAAAGGGTAATAATCAATGCTGTCGATTGAAAGGGCCCCCTGGTCGTTGTTAGTTTACGAACCGGGACAATCGAACGACTGGAATGGCGAGGCCCGCAAGCACATGGCTTTCCAGGGACCGGGATGATGAGACACACGAGAAATGGCAGATGGTGGCTAAAGGCGGTTTCAGCCTGGGGTGGATTGGGAAGAGGCGCAGGGGAAAAGGCACAACAAGGTGAGCAGCTGGATGTGCCACGGTGAGAGCAGCAATCAGATGCTGAGTTGACGGGATGGCGGCCAAATAGGACGCAACAACTCGGCAAGGAAGAAAAGACGGTGAGATTTGCTGCGAGGAAGATGCAAAAGTACGTCAAGGGATGAAGGAGAAGACTGAAGATAGCCGGTACCACTCGTGATACATACCGACAAGTATGGGCAAACTTGCGACGATTTGAGGCGAGGTGAGGGACTGAGCACAGGCCGCCTGGACGAAAACGAAGACGGTGGGAGATTGGCGAAGACGGCAGAGAGAGAAGGGGAAAAGGGACTCTTCTCAGAGGTCACTTCAAGTTCTTTGCAGCTTGGATTCGAGTCCTCGCCTCTCGTTCTGTTGCTGAAATGAAGACCCCTTTCGCTAGCGGCAGTACGAGGAGTTAACGCTGTTGCTCGCTGCGAATATAGAGGTAGTAGCCCTCAGTACCGCGAATCAGTTTGCGCATAGAAAAGAGGTTTGAAGTGCGTGCTGTTCGAAACAAAGATCGAAGGCAAAAAAGAGTCAGGGCTCTTCTAAATTAAGCCTGCAAGGGATCGGCGTGCCACAATGATTTTCTCACCATCTCCGTACATGTACTCTTGCGACCAAAAGGAACAGCCAATCTTCGGAGGAACTCTGTGCTGCGTCCAAGTGCCGATCGTCGCCTCGTTAAAAGCTGACACCGAGCCGAGTATCAGACGCTTCGTCGTGCCTTCCCTTCGAGTATCTAAACACTTCCGTTTGAGCCCTCTATGACTAATCGTGTTATCTCTTCTTCCCTCAATCCTCGATTCTTCACTCTTCACCTTTTCCATCATCTCGCAGCATTCTTCCCATCTCTTACGATACTTGTCCCCATCGGCCCTGACCCGCGACGGCCGACTCGCTCGCCGCTTTCCAAATCTTCTCCCAGACCCCATCCTGCAGAGTCCCGCCTCCACCCAGCAGCCATGGCGAGACGGGCCCTGGAACTGGCCTGGCCGGATGCCTGAAGGAGCCTAGCACAGAGGCCCTAGCGCTTCTCTAGGCGTCAGGGGGGCCCTGGCCGCATCCCCACATCCGCTAAAGGAGCTGCCAGTGCTCGAATCAGCAGCGGAAGATTTCAGGGGTCGCATCAACGGTGCCGTTCAATTTCATGTCGGACCAAATTGATTGCGGGACGACTTCACGCGTCGACGATGGCTGCGGTTCTGTTGGCTCTTGTTCCTTTTTCCTGGGACCCGGAAGGTCGAAGCAGCACAGGCCCGTTGCTTGATGACGAGCCTCTCGCTCGCCTCGTCCAGAGTTCGCCTGTCGTACGAAGGACCGAGTCTGCAGGGCGCTTCTCCTGGCATCAACGACCACAGGAAAACGGCGCTGCGTTGGCTGGTGACCGTCCTTCGACTCCCTCGCATTGCACAGGCCTCCACCCCATCCATCTGCACCTGCATCGGCTTCCGACTCCTGCCTGTTTGTGCTTCCTCCCTGTACTACAACTTGGAGTCTTCGGAGGTTTACGGTCTGGAGCAAGCCTTCCAGGCAAGGAACATCCGCAATGAAGGCTGATAGTTTGTCCACTACCTCCTTTAGCCTCTCGTCACTGAGGGCAGCGCGACTCGACACGAGATAAGATGCGCTGCTCCGTCTGCTAGCCTCGCTGGCTAGTCAGTCGCACATCGGCCCTGATTGCTCGCTCCACGCATCAGAGAAGCCCGCCTAGATACATACATAGCATCCTACGCTGACAGTTGTCTCAGAAATTGATGTTCTCATCCGGTAAGGGGCATGGGACTCTCAGCCTCACGATTGGCCTCCGGAGTACGAGCATACCGATGCTTTACGGACGGCAAAGAGCACAATCTCGCGATGGCTCACACTCTCGAGATGGATGTCTGCTTGCATGTTTGAGACTCTTCCAACATGCTGCCGCCGCACTGACCAGCCGCCGCCACCCGCTACCTTTGCTCCCTAGAGCTGTCGTCGCAGCGCCAGTTCAAGGGCTAATCTCAGCTCCCAGCCACCATGACGAAGTCGAATCGCTCGAGCCAGCAGCAGCAAGCAGCATTTCGCTTTGCCAGTCCGCGATGCTTTGGGACGAGACGCCTGGCACTCATACTCACAGTAATACACTGCAGTTGCAGCTGTTCTACACACCAAATGCTCGTATGAACGCGTTGGCTGCTGGCAAGGCACGACGTATGATTTGCGGAGCATTCAAGGTAAGTGCCCTGATTAATAACTGCCCCCTCATTCGCGAACCCAGGAGCATTGGTCAATCTCCATGGCCGAGAGAATCACCCCAAGTCCCGAGCCGGGGTGGCTGCCGGGGCCGGACCTTATGGCGTTTCTGGTCTCTGCTGGTGCTGAGCCAATCAACAAAGGGATCTCAACGCCATGGCCAGGAGACGAGACGAGCCGGACTCGGTTAAGAGTCGAGAGGGAGTGGCCACGGCCGTTTCGTTTCGACGCTGTTTTGACGAGCCTGCCTCCACGCTAGAACCTATCCCATCTTCGTCTTTCTACCTTACCCATACGGCTTATACAGAGGTGCGGGAGTCGGGCAGACTGAAGTTCTTCCAGGCCCATGAGAGCAATTCTTTTCTAATAGGCCCGTGCAAGTTCAGGGTCAGTGTGTACGGAGAAAAGTAAGCCTAATGAGGAACAACTTGTCAGGCTTGTCCCGTCCGCCGATCGCTTATCTCAGTTGCTTGGTCCCTCCCTGTATAAGCCGCCGCCCTACATCCATATAACATGGTCCTCTGCATGTCTCGACGCCAATTTTGTGACGACGCGTCCAAGTACGAGTACGAGTTCTCTCTGCTAGGCAGGTCGAAGGAACTGCCAAGGCATGTTTACATTCACAAGTGGTCAGCAACCACCTTGCAAGTAGTACAAGTATGCTGGTGATCTTCGTTTTGGCGAGTGTAGCTGCGGTTGCATGTCCATGCATACGAGGCTTGACCTGCCCGAAGATGGATGCTGACTGCATAGAGCGCTAACGCGTACGGGCAGCACGATTTACACCTCTGCAACCACATGGAAGCTCTATGTATCTACAGTCTACCAACAGGACATTGGGCTTTCGACGCAGAAGACGTCGGCCAGGGATTCACCAAGCCGCCATGAAGCGGCCAGCCGGTCTGCAATCCCATCCGGGGCAGCCGCTCTTGTACGACGAGGAAGCATGCGTGACGACGGACGTTCTTTTCACTTCAAAGGATGCTGTTGCCCACCAGCATGGACAGCGGCAGTTGAAGGTGCCAAGATGTCGAGATTTCCACCAACACTGTCCTCGAACATGTAAAGGATGCATGCAGCGACTCCTCAACCAACGTTTGCACAATCATTTGAACATGCAGGTCGAGGCACCACTTGATGGCTATAGATCTGGAGTGGCCATGAATGGAGAATGGGGAGCACCGCGGCGTGCATGCATGGCATATTCATCACCTGGTTATGGCCAGCCTCGTCCAATCCAAGTTTGAAGACCATCTCTCTCATCATTGGTGCTTCCACCCCACAAGGAGATGCTCATGATCGACAGAGGATTACAGATGGCTCTGCCACCCCGAACATTCCGCATCGGCATCCTTCCTCCTTTGTAGCCTGAGCAAACAGTGAGGGCGGATGGAGGAGCGTAGCACAAAGGCGGCTTCCCGTAGACCCCAAGACAACACACAAACTTATTTGAAGTCGGCTCGGCGAAGCCCGATGCCCGCGCCGCCGCTTATTCAGAGAGGTTCGGTGGCGTGCATATGCTGGAAGCCGAAACTGTTATATGTTCCTTGAACGGCCTTTCTGAATATATGTGTTCCGAGGGGTTGCCTGCGGTGTAACAGCTGCGTAGGTAGGAAGTGATGGCTGTAAGTTGCACACAGCTCGTGGACTCTGTATTCAACAAGAAAGTCTGCCTGCTCCAAATGGCTTTTTCAGGACCGGTTATGCATGTTTCCTTAGGATTAGGAACCTACGTGAGGTGCATCAGCTCCCTGCTTTTGGTGCTTGTTCTTGACATGCTGGTCTTTGTGCGTTTATTTCTATTGTGTTTGCTGGTTGAAGGAGGATTCGCGATGTCAACATACTTTGTCTAGGACTCTTCTATGATGACTGAGCTGTAGAGTAGGCGATGCTGCTCAAAGTACCAGAAGCCAAACAAATCGAGTCTTGACGCTGCTGCTCTTGTGATGCGGCGATAAGACGAACAGGAGTCTCGTGAAGTGCGCCCAATCACGAATCGCAATATAGTTGCACGTAGGAACTCATGCCACAAACAACAGCCATCAACTGAGCACTGCATCAATAGAAGAAATGATCAATAGACTTCAATAACCACCACGCAATCAAGTAATTATCAGGAAAGCCTCCATATAGAAGTTCACGCCTTTTACCGTCCGTGCAAATATCGATAGTAGAAGCGGGAAGCTGCATCAAGTCGCCCACTTATATGGTTGGCCTCAGCTCCAACAACGCACCCGAGTTTCTCAGCTGAAATGCGACAACTATTCAGCGCCCAAACAGGTCAAAGCATAGTCTTTGATGATGCAACGGAATCGAAGAAAAGAGATATGTTTGCTCGGAGGGGTTTTCTGGGCGGCGGCATGCATTATTGTCGTGGGAAAAAAGGGGGCGGGTGAAAAGCCACGCCCTGTTGACGCTATTGTCTTTGATTGATCGGTTCCCATTGTTCTGCTTTTTTTGACTGCGAGATGGAAGAAAACAAAAGAAAAGCTTTTCAGAGGAGTCGCCTTTTTTTCCTGGTGATTTTGATTAGTTGAACTCAGCCGTATCTACTGTGATTGACTTTTTTTTGTTCTCTCTTTATTTCTACTACATCTTGATTTTGTCTTCCTGCGATTCTTGGTGAACGAGGTCGAGTTGCCGGTAGCAAAGCAGCGAAGCACCACCGACACCACCGTATAAATCAAAAATCAAGGAAGCACGTCTCCTGCCAACCATCCACCCCAACAACTCACACGCAAAACCACATTCGAACCCTCACCATCTCTTCAAAGCGCCAAAAGATATATATATAGAGAGAGAGAGAGTTCACAAAGCCATGGCCCTGGCAATCCGCCGTCCCACGCTCCCAACGCAATGGCTCCTCCCCCTCCTCGTCGTGAACCTCTTCGTCATCAACCTCGGCCTCTCGATAAGCGACTACCCGTCCATGAAGCTCTGGCAAGACATCATCTGCAAGCACCACCTGGGCCTCTCCTCAGACGAACTCCTCCCCGAGCGGGAATGTCACGATAGAGCGGTGCAGAGGGAGCTCAACATCATCGACATCGGGTCTTCTGTGTCTGATACACTGGCAAGTACGTCGTCTCAACAACAACAACAACAACAAACAGCAAACACCACATTCCCAATCACAAAACGCCATGCATGAAATCATCAGATAGATCAAAGGGGCAAAGAGGCTAACGCAAAAGCGTACAAACAGGCGCCCTCGTGGCTCTCCCCCTGGGCATGCTGTCCGACAGATTCGGCCGCGTCCCGATCCTCGCCCTGAGCATCGTGAGCCTCTTCCTCTCCGAGGGCTACACCCTCCTCATATGCTGGAAGTGGCGCGACGTCCCGCTGCGAGCAATCTGGGGCTCCGGCGCAATCATGCTCCTCGGCGGCGGACGCGGAGTCGCCGAGGCCATGGTCTTTACCAGCATCTCTGACGTGATTCCCGAGTCGAAGCGGTAAGGAACATCACCATCTCCAAACTCTCCAAATCTTAAAGTATATACTTATATACATAGATATGAGTTTGTCCCTGAGAGAATGTGCTGATACTGACTCCTTGAATAGGGCAACCTGCTTCCAATGGGTCGTCGCCGCCGTCCTCTCCTCCGAACTCTTCGGCCCCCTCATCGCAAACCACCTCGCCGAAATCTCCATCTGGTGCCCCCTCCTCCTCGAACTCGGCCTCATCGCGACAGGAGGCATCCTGCTCCTCCTCCTCATGCCAGAGACCCTCCCAGCACGCAACTCTCCCATCCTCGTCATCGGCGAAGACACGCCCATCATCACTTCCAACCACAACGACACCACCGCCACCACAAACAACAAACCCCCAAACACCACCACCGAAACCATAGAACAACAACAACAACAACAACAACAACAACAACAACAACAACAACAACAACAACCCATCAACAAGTCCCCCTCCCAACACCAATCAGCAGCAGCCACAAAATCCGTCCTCGCAGCCCTCTTCCGCCGCCCAGCAATATACCTCCTCCCGGGCTCCATCCTCGCCATGCCAGCCGTCACATCCCAGTACGGCGTCGTCATGCGCATCATGCCCATCCAGTTCGACTGGCCCCTCTCCCGCGCCTCCCTCCTCTTCTCCCTCAACGCCGCCGTCACCCTCCTCACCCTGCTCCTCATCCTCCCCGCGGCGTCCTACTTTCTTTACCGCAGCAGCGCATCGTCGTCGTCGTCCTCTTCGCCTCTCCAGCGCGACAGGATCCTCGCCCGCGCCAGCGTCGTCCTCTTCGTCCTCGGATCGCTCTTCCTCATGGTCGGCGGCAGGGTCAGCCTCGTCATTCTCGGTGTCGCCGTCTCTGCGCTGGGATCTGGTGTCCCGACGCTGTGCCGTACGCTGCTCGTTGCTCTTGTCGGGGACCATAGGACGGGCTCCGTCTTTGGCGTCATTGCTGCTGGCGAGGTTCTGGGGATGCTGGCTTGCGAGCTGATTATCGGTCCGCTCTTTGATATCGGGCTCAGGACGTGGTTGGGACTGCCGTTTTGCCTTGGCGTGGTCATTTCGACGGCGACTTGCGTGTTGACGTGGTTGGTCCGGAAGGTAGATGTTTAAGGTCGTGCTCATGAAAATACCCCTGAATAACAGTCACAGCATGAGATGCCACCCATAACGAAGGGAAGGATCATATAGCCACAGTCGCGAAATTGAAGATAGCTAGATTAACAAACATGTCACATTTGATTTTGATACAGACGAATATATTTACTGCTTTGGTACTGCCACCAGGATAGTCCAAGATGCCGCATTCGTTGACATTAGGCAAACACAAAATCAATCACAGTGAGCAAAGAGTTTGAGGAATCAAATCTTTCAATTTGGTACCGATCCAACTAGGGAATAATCACAGCAACGATATTCGTTATCACTAGGGGTATCTTTCTACACCATCAGTCTTCCTCCACCCGTCCACCAACAAATGTCCCATCTTAGTAGTTGGCCTCTTTGGCCTCGGCCTGCTTCTGAATGTCGACCTCGGCACCACGCTGCTGTGTCTTGCCCTTGTCGTGCAACTGCTCGTAGTGGATCTGGCCCTCCTTGTCTCCCGTAAGGCCCGCGACGGCACTACCAACGGTGCCCTGGGCACGGTCGCCCAATCCGTGGCTGTAGTCGCGAATCTGGCCCTTTGCTTCTTGCTGCTGGCCCTCGAGGTTCTGCTCACGTCCGGACTGCTTCAGAGACTATAATACCATGTTAGATGACTGTATTTACAGAGTAGACTACATCAAAAGGGAAGCTTACCTCGTTGCCGACGAGACCACCGAGCGTCTCCTTAGCAGCACCCACGGTCTGGTTCCACGAGCCCTCGGTTCTGTTGGGGTCGTCCTTGGCAAAGGCACCCGTGCTGGAGATGGTGCCTCCGGGGAGCTTGGCTGCCGCCTGAGAGGCATTGTACTCAGCATCGGCCTTTTCCTGGCGAGTCTGGCCCTTGGCCTGGTCGCCTGTGTTGCCCGTCAGGTTGCCAATGGCATTCTGGACGGCGCCGGTGGCAGAGTCGACGTAGGACTGGAGGGTGGAGGGCTTGGTGTTGTTGTTGGTGGTGTCAGACATTTTGGCTGTACTAGATTGAATCAAAGATGTAAAAGGTTGAGTGTTGTGCGTGTGGTGGTTTGTAGGTTGTTTAGATGGTAGTTGTTGTTGTTGTTTGTGTTGAGATATCCGATATCCCAAAGTATGTAAACCGGAGCAGCAGAAGCAGCTCTTATATACTACATCCAAACATCGCCGCATCACGGGAAGCCGCAATCATGCTCCACGATGACGATCATTGCAGCCGCCATCCACGCATAGCTCCTTCCAGCCAATTCACCAGATGCACTTCTGCGCACGGCCATCAAAACCACCGCTGATGTCATTGCTACCCTGATTGCCGTTTGAGCTTGTGAAGCATCTTGGCACGTCTTCTCTAGGCTGTGGCGCAGGAGGTGGCCGCGCTGACGTCATGGCGGCGTCAGTGACGGCCACCACTGAGACTCGCCTGTGACACCGGACAGGACGCCTAGACGGTACGCTTTCAATGTAGCTTCAGGCAAACACTGGTGCCAGCTGAATGGATCAACAGACATGTTTGACATGTTGATGCCATTCTGCAATCAATCGGTTATTGGCTGCCGTGGATCTTCTTGAAACAGCCAACAGCGTGAATTGCCGGTTTGAAATGCAACACGGTTACCGGTTGGACGGCAAGAGGATCATCCTGTCAGAAGCACCTCGAATGTTCCCTTCCAGATCACACTGCAAACAAGAAGCCAATGCCATCGACAGAGATATGTTCATTCTGACTGAAAATTGTCATTATTCATGCTCGTAAATTAGTAGTGAGCGTTGATCAGGTATCTTACACTACAATGTGCTCTTATGTACAGTGGCCTGTCTGGCGTAATGTCCGCCGACTGTGGCCAAACTCCCGTCAAGTTTCCGCTTAAACCCATACCCAGACCCAATAGATAAGTAGCCTCCCGCCCCCAAACACCAAATGTCGTCATGTCAATCTCGAGGCGATCCTTAGTGCTGGCTCCACTGGATCGTGTTCAGATCGATGCCCTCTTGCACAAGCTCCCACAGCGGGCTGAGCTCACGCAAGAACGTGACACGCTCCCTAACCGCCTTCAGGACGTAATCAATCTCGGCCTCCGTGGTGAAGCGGCCAATGCCGAATCGGATACTGCTGTGCGCGTTCTCGTCGCTGTTTCCAAGCGCTCGGAGCACGTAGCTGGGCTCAAGCGAGGCCGACGTACATGCGCTACCAGAGGACAGCGCAATGTCCTTCAGAGCCATCAGAAGCGATTCACCCTCGACGTAGGCAAATGAAACGTTGACACAGCCCGGGTAGAATGACTTGGAGTCGCCATTCTGGGAAGTGTGCTCCATAGACAGCAGTCCACTCAACAGTCGATCTGACAGGAACTTGATCCTCTTTGAGTCGTACTATACAGAGGTGCTCTGTTAGCCATGCCCAACCGACAAGATCGTTCAGAACCAAGATTGGGTAAACAACGACAAAGGGAAACCGCAAGAATCAGACAGTTTGCTACACTCAACACGAAGGGCCTTGTCACGGGCCATTCAGAAAGCCATGCATGTAGAAGCAGATCATCACGCGAATGCGGAAGGGGGGAAGCAAAGCAAGCAGTTGAAAGAAGAAGAGAAAGCAAAATGATGACATACCTCCATCTCCTCCTTGGCGACGCGGCATGCCTCGCCAAAGCCGGCAACGAGCGGTGGTGCCAGGGTACCACTTCGCAAACCTCGCTCCTGTCCACCACCAGTAATAAGGGGGTCCAACCGAACCCTCGGACGTCTCCGGACATAGCATGCGCCAATGCCCTTGGGGCCGTAGATTTTATGTGATGAGATAGACATGAGATCAATGTTCATGGCATTGACATCGATGGGGATCTTGCCGACGGCCTGAGCGGCATCGGTATGGAAGAAGACCTTCTTCTCACGGCAAAGCTTGCCAATCTGCTCAATCGGCTGGATAACTCCAATCTCGTTGTTCACAGTCATGATGCTGACCAGGGCCGTCTCAGGCCGGAAGGCAGCTTCGAGATCCGACATCTTGATCAAGCCGTTATTCTGGACAGGGAGATAGGTGATTTCGAACCCCTCATCCTGCAGATGCCTGCAGCTGTCCAGCACGCACTTGTGCTCTGTCTGGGTGGTGATGATGTGCTTCTTCTTGCCGGATCGGCCAAAGAATCGAGCAACACCCTTGATGCTCATGTTGTTGCTCTCCGTGGCGCCGCTGGTGAAGATGATCTCCTTGGGGTCGGCGCCAATCAGGTTCGCCACATGCTGTCGAGCCTCCTCGACAGCCTTCTCGCTCTCCCAGCCGTAGGCGTGGGTTCTTGAGTGGGGGTTTCCGAACTCGCCGACGTAGAACGGCAGCATCGCGTCCAGGACACGGGGGTCAACAGGCGTGGTGGCCTGCATGTCGAGGTAGATTGGCCGCTGGCCCTCCTCCATGACGGCTGCGGTCTTGAGAACCTCTGCAATGCACGCATTAGCCTCTGTGTATACTCTTCGCTCGTTGCTGCTTGGCAACAAAAGATAACCGAGGACGACATACCGGCCATCGGGCTGACCTTGATGTCGGACGTGCCCGCCTCCATCTGCGGAGGTATGTTCACAAAGTCCTTCTTGTCCAGCTTGATTGCCGTCTCGACCTGCGCATTGTTTCTCTTGGACTCGGTCACATATCGCCGCTTTGAAGCCGCCACCAGGGCAGCCCGCCGAATTCCGCGCAACGGCGCCGCAGCAAGCGTCGAGCTGGAGCCGAGGCGGCTCGCCGACCTCAGCGCTGACGATGCAATACTAGCCATGGCTGATGTGCGGATGGATCGTTTACATGGGGAAAAACTGCTCCAGCCAAAGCGAGAGGTTGGAGGTGTTGAGGGGAGACGGCGATAGTTTTTTTTCTCTAAACCGAGAAATTTATACCGGGGTAGGTATTTGTCAACGATCGGCTCGGTGGCTCGGTGATACGTGCGGCACTGTGCAATCTGATTGGATGGGCAGTCTGAGGAATCTCCGGCTCAACGCCGGCAGGGAAGCTGATGGGCGCAAATCGATCTGACCCGAATAAGTGCGTATGCAAAGGCCGAGATTGGCCACTTGCTCTCCGCGGGGGAGCTCGAGGTGCTGGGAGGGCGGTTTAGCATGAGACGACGGCTAAACTGGGTTCTCGGATATCGAGGCAACGACGTCATGTTAGAGAGCTGGTGGTGAACCTTTACATGCATGCGTGCGTGCGCATTCACTTTTGTAAAAGTCGAGATGCTCATCAGTCTTTATTGCTAGGCGTCTTCTCCGTGGATCAGAGGAGGGAGCTGCACTTCGTACTCTGTATTAGTTCGCTGCCTGTGCCTGTACCTGTCTGTGCCTGTAGGACATGTGCTGTAGAGGTCTGCTGTCAGTCAAACCTTAGGGGTCGGGTGCGCTACCGAGCTTACGATACCTGCGCATGATGCCCGACAGCCACTGCAAGTCAGCGATTACACGTCTTCCAAGGCTAAGCAGTTGCTACGGAGTCGCTAATCAAAGCAAGGACCGTCATCAGATGACGGCCATCAGACACACAGACATGGTTCTGCCCCCCCAGGCAAATTCCGGCGGCTTCCACCAAGGCCAAGCCAGCCAAGACGGAGCGCCGGAGTTTGAATGACATGCGCCACATGCTAAAAAGCTCGGGCACAGCCACTCCACCCACGTCGTCACCGTCCCATTTGCTTCATCAACTCAGCCCTCGGACCTTGAAATCGAGATCAGATCCAGCTTCGCGAGAACTCCCGGATCGCCGGTGCTTTGCGCGCGCAACTTGCTCTCCGTCTCCCTCAGAACATCCGACACTCCTCCTGCTCCCGCACGCAGTTCCCACCATCTGCTCGCCATCATGAGCTTCAAAGGCTTCCAAAAGAGCCTTGTTAGGGTAAGACGCCCGCCTTGCCATCTCCCCTTTGCCCCTCACCCGACGCCGCAGCAGACACATAAGAGAGAAGCACGGCCAGAGCAGCTGAACCCGTGCCTCGCAATATTCTAGGCGCCGCAACAATTCAAATCCAAGTTCAACATCGGCGAGCACACCAAGGACGCCGTATACATCGACGCAGAGCGACGCTTCCAGGAGCTGGAAAAGGAGACCAAGAAGCTCCACGATGAGTCGAAAAAATACTTCGAGGCCATCAATGGCATGCTCCAGCACCAGATCGACTTCAGCAAAGCAATGACGGAGATCTACAAGCCCATCTCCGGCCGCGTGTCCGACCCCGACTCGATAAAGCCCGAGGGCAACCCGGAAGGCATCCGTGCCTGCGAAGAGTACGAGGCCGTTGTTCAGGAGCTACAGGAGACGCTGGCGCCCGAGCTGGACACTATCGAGACCAGGGTTATTCGCCCGGCCAACGAGCTGCTCGACGTCATCAAGGTCATCCGCAAGACTGCTGTCAAGCGAGACCACAAACAGCTCGACTACGACCGGCATCGTACCGCTCTCAAGAAGCTGCAGGACAAGAAAGACCGCTCCGCCAAGGACGAAAAAGCGATGTGGAAGGCTGAAGGCGACTGCGAGCAGGCCACGCAAGACTTTGAATACTACAACAACCTGCTGAAAGAGGAGCTGCCCAAGCTCTTCCAGCTGGAGCAGGAGTTCATCAAGCCGCTCTTCCAGTCCTTCTACTACATGCAGCTCAACATCTTCTACACATTACACGAGCGGATGCAGCGGTGCGATATTGGATACTTTGACCTGACCAGGGACATTGAGGAGGCCTTTATCGAGAAGCGAGGCGATATCCAGGAGCGGGCCGAAGCTCTCTCCATTGTGCGATTCAAGACCACCGGACAGCGGCGGCCGCCTCCCAAGGCCCTCGGTCGCCCTGCCCTGGAATCCAGCAAGCCTCAGGGACTGCTCACCTCAGGCCCCACGACATCAGAGAAGACGAGTCCCAAGTTTGGCGGCTTCCAGACGGAGCAGGCAGACGCGGGCGAAGCGTCCGCGCCGCCGCCGTATAGTGCTGCGACGAAGCCCGGCGCTGGCGCCGGCACTCTCTCCACGCTGGTCGCCGGCAAGGCAAAGCCCCCGCCCCCGCCCAAGCCGAAGCCGACCCGCCTGAGCGGCGCTCCGCCGCCCGAGACGGTGACGGCCCTGTACGACTACGCGGCGCAGGCAGAGGGCGACTTGAGTTTCCGGGCGGGAGATGTCCTTGAGATTATACAGAGGACGCAGAACGAGAACGAGTGGTGGACGGGCAAGGTGAATGGGAAGTCAGGACAGTTTCCAGGTATGCTTGTTTCCCTAAAGATGCTGTGATCTCTTTGGCCACCTATATATCGATATACTAACGCTGCCGCAGGAAATTACGTCAAGCTGAATTAGAAGTAGCAAATCAACCCGAGGGGGTTTAGTGACCGGGGGGAACAAAGCAACGTGATGCAGATATCACGTCAACCATCGATCCGAAGAGAGGCAAGGTGTGTCAGAAAGGAGGGAAAGTGAGAAGACGAAGGCGAAGATGATGAAAGTAGTAGAAAGAAGGAGAAGGGAGTTTGGTTTACTGCATATCCTTTCCCCTATTTGTTGTTTTACCCTCGTCCAACTTTATTCACCTTAGAGCCATGCAAAGGGGAATTCAATCCAAATCGCCACAGATCAGCCCTTTATATGTACATAGTGTACTTTTGATAATCAGGATTCACACAAAGCGGGAAATACCACCTAAATAGGTACCTAATCTTCTCCTTGTCAGAGTCCTCCCGTATGACGAGTGCCTTTTTATACTTTTCCCGCATGCATATGTACTCCTCACTCCATGTTGTGTGACATTTCTCGCGTGTGTTGCGCCGAGTAAGGCAGGTATAAGGAGAAAGTTGCTTTGGCGTTTTATGACGATGCCTTCATATTGGTCAAGAACTTACGTGATATATTAAACCTCACCGAGAATGAGCACAGTTACTTCACGGTCACATCATCATCTGATTTTGAGTTATATTAATTACATGCTTATACGATAACATGCGTCTTTGGTGAAGTTACACGACCACTAATTTACAGCACTTTTATGCGCAGCGGCACGGAATTGCAATTACTTTGCTTATGCGAAAACATCCGTCTCTTTGTTTAAGCTACCAGACACGACGGCTGCTGTTACAGCACTTTGATGCACAGCGGCACGAGGAAGCTGCGTTACTTTGCATGACGTCCAGTCAAGATCTGACAATTGTTCGAAGGGAGAGAACAAGGAGCCTCAAATGGAGATACACATAATGATGAAAATAGAGAGCCAGAACGAAATGGCGAGGATATATCACATGTCTCATGCGGTAAAGTTGCGTGTGATCTATGTAGGTATATGTAGTATGAGGTAGTATGGCTTACATCGACACAGCCACGTTGTGAGCCCAACGCGCGCCATACATGCATGTTATATTCATATAAGTATGTGTGTGTAATATCCAATGCTTTTTGTGACACCTCCAACATTTCTGCTTTTTGAAGAGTCATCGTTGCATCTGCGACATAGGAAACTTGAGAGAGCTTTCGTTGAGATATCTGTGACAAATGAAAGAAAGGTTCAACGATCGGATACGGATATCTGCAGATTTGTGGACAATTGCGGCTAAGGATGCTATCCCATGCTCGTTTGTGCCCGTGGCATCGCTTAGTACTCCGTAGACGCAGCATCAATGCAGAATCAACCATGTTGGTCCTAGCCAAGGTGTCTGACCCAAGCTGGCGAAGCATACAAAAAGTTGATAAATGGCCAATCAGCACCTAAAGCAAATTAGCAACCAAGTCCATGTCGATGCTTCGTCCTATCGTTTACAGCGGTGCCTCTTGCGTCGTAGGCCTAGACACCAGCCAATGATCGGTAGGTAGTATCGAAGTTCGGTGTCAGTATCGGCATATATCGGGCTTCCCTTTTGAAACACAAGATACAGAGACACCCCGACATCAAGCCAAGGGTCGTTGAGCAAATTAGCCCTCAACTAGTGCATCTCAAGTTGCCGCAAGGGAGCTTCTGTCTGCTGGCGTTGGGTTCCCGAGACTCTCGCGGCTGAGCTGTGCTGGTGAGGCGGTAGGGCCCAAGAAGAGACTCGTCATTGAACCCTGTGTGCCGTAGTAATAGCTCACTTTAGGCAATTCTACCAGGAGCCATCCACAAGTTAAATGTGCCGCGTTAATCGGTATAAAAGGTCGGGAGCGGCTTCTTCCCGAAAGTGAATCCACCTAGATGCTCTTCGGTGACGAGGCGGAGGTCGCATGGGTCGTCCTCTCACTTCTCTTGGGAAATCGAGAAAGGTCCAGACCACGAATTCTCGGCATTTCTTGCCAGCTTTTCGTAGATTCCTGCCCGCCCTCGGGAAAGCTCAGAGGCGTGTCGCCCTTGTTCAGCTGGCCATCTGTTGAAGATGGCGGTGTCGAGCTTACATGGCGCAGCCCCTCAAAATGCAGGCTCGGATCAAACGAAACGAGGATGATGGACCGTGGCTCATCAGGGGGGTATATTGTTTTGGGAGAGTAAACAATGATACTCTCGTCCATTGCCGAGTCGATTTCGTCAAAGTAGGCCTTGGGATTTAGGAGCTCGTCGACGTATTGGTTCCAGGGCAGCTCTGCAGACCAGCTGCGATGCTCGTCTTGTTGCACTTGCTCCACCGGCCAGAGTCTGACGTGTTGGTCTTCCAAGTCCTTGGCAGCATCGGCCACTCCGTTCGGTGATGATGGAGGCTCGCATGATTCCAGAGTTGGACACGGCTCATGCGGCCGGCTTCTGACCCGCAACCGCAACCGCTTGGCTGCCGGGCTCGAAGCCGTGGTTGTGCTTACAATGTCCACAAAGGCTTGGCAGCTTGAATTGTAAGAACGAACCGGAGAGTTGCGGAAATCGAAGGTTGAAGCGCAGAAGCCGTTGTCACCATAATGAACGCTGTTCCCCACATCCATTTCTTTGGGAGGCACGGCGTTCCAACCATTGCAGTGCTTGTCTTCGGGATGCCCGTCGGTACATGCATTCTCGCAGAAAGAGGGCCAAAACAGCTGCTTTCGGTAACAGGATCGTCGACTCCATGATGTGAGCCACTCCTTTCGAGTTTCAAAAATGGACACTTGGCCGGTTTTCTCGTCTTGTGCGAGCTGAAGTTGGTTCCAGCGGTCGTCGATTGGGCCATCTGTAGCACCTCGCCGCCACAGGGCAGATCTCGGCAAGACTCTGATGGTAGGATCATCTCCCAGAGGGAGCTGAAAGGCGTAGTAGAATGAGTTGAGCGGGCTCCCTGGCGAGCCCCATTCGACGTCGTCCAGTTCGGCCACCTCCTGGCTCGAAACGCCATAGAGATGGTCGTCAAAGAGTTCGAAGCATATCGCCGATCCAATATCAGAGCCAACCAGATCCCGAAGGATGAATCGTCGAGGTAACCACTTTGACTCTGCCAAATTGAACCCGCAAATCAACCATCGTCGCTGTCCCTCCACTAGTTCGGACATTGTGCCATAATAGAGATATCTGTCGTTGTTGCGAACAAAGATATTCGAACTCGATCGCAGAGGGTGGGAGCTCAGTATCTTGTCATCTTTCATGCTATATATGATTAACCAGCGGCCAGTAGCAGGAGGCTTCCTCTGCTCGTATAAGCATGAAACTATGCCGTGTGCGTGATACAGTGGCTTGAACTGATACGGCCGACTCTCCTCGAAGTCTGGTATGGCGGAAGCCTCTATCAGCTGAATAATGTCTGTGCTCACTTCTTTGGCAGACGGTCCCTTCAGAGACAGGATTCGCAGACGGTGTTGATGAGCGGGTGAAGTTTGCTTTGTAGTATAACACACGGCGCCATTTGCATATGTAAAGTGAACAGCTTCTCTAGAGACCTCCAGCAGCTGGAAAGGCCGGGCCATCTGGACAGCCCGGCGCCGTTTGACGAGTATCCTCAAAGCTCTGTCATAATCTTCGGTTCCTGCGGTTTGGTCCTTGGGATCTTTTCTATGGCATTGTCTGTATTCTGGAGAGAACCTGGCATTCTTCGGGTTTTCCTCAGTCAGCATTGATGTATACACAGATTGGAGCAGAGACGACAAGTGTCGCGATGACAAACCTCTAGAACGCCTCGGCAGATGACTCTGTCATAGATGACGTGCTCGAAATGACTGCTGGTCAATGCCAGGTTGAAAAGGTCATCTGGATCAAGGCTCAATGCTATGAGCCGAAGGATCTCGGAAGGGACTCGACAGAGGCTCATGGCCGTAGACGGAACAAACACGAGAGGAGGGGAACGAGGCAGTAAAACGGGACAAAGTGAAGAGAGACCTGCTGAAATGGAGACTGCTGAGGGACTTTTCTCGATTCTGTACGAAGTACGGAGTAGGAGCGATGGAACTGGTCAGAACTGCATATATAAGGAGAGTCTGGTCCTCTATCTGCTCGCCTCCTCTTTTCGGCTTGCTGCATTCTTTTGCGGCTCTAGCACCCCGGTTCTAGGTCAGATCATACCGGCAGCGCTCGGAAATAGGCCGCTGATTCAAATATGATGCCTTCAAGGAGCCTCAGCGCTTGCTTGTCTGGCTCAAGTAGCAGAGGTAGCAGTTCCAAGACTGTGGCTTTAAGGTCAGCACGGTTACATCCAAGTCCGTGGCATTATCTCATTCGCATGGAATCCGAAGAATGTTGCTGAAAGCCCAAGGTTCGGTGAGCTCCAGGCCTTTGTACTGATAGTGAATAGACGGCAAGAGGTAAGGGGGGTCATCGTTGGGGTTCAGTCATGTTACATATACTGTGGAACAAGAAGCTAGTAGTAGAGAGCACTTGAGCCGCACAACAGGGATCAGAGCTATGTCCCGGATTAGCTTTCTCATCCATGTCCCGTGAGGGGTCGCTTGGCTTTATTGTACTCACTGTGTAATTATTATGTGACTCCTCTCATCGTTGCGGCTCACAGGTAGTCAAGCTGAGGCAGTAGCGCATCCGTTTGACAAATGAAGTAATACTCCAGATGCTGCTAAGGACATGCTGGAAGGGCGAAGGAGTTCATCACCAGCTTGGGTAGATTGATTGTCTGCCTCGCTTGGCTATATATATAGAGGCCCTTGTACGCCGCAGGATGCCGTTTGAAGATGTGTAAAGGAATAAATCGCAAACATCAATGCTTTCCTGTCTTGGCCTCTCCGTGTCATCGTACGCCAGATCTATGAACCATTCATTGGCTACAGTGCGGTAGTGGCAGGGATGCTGCACACCCACCCACTCGCCTGCTGCCTGGTTACATAGAGGCCGCAGAGCCTCAAATGCACATGCAACGGTGCTCAAACGGTTTGATCCTTATCCTTTTCTCCATTGCAGTTGGTGCTGAAAGCAAACGGTTCTAGGTACCAAGGTATCGCAGAGTATGTACTGTAGAGGGATAAGGGAGGCTGTTTTGAGGTTTATGCGTGTTGTCGAGGTTTAACATCTCATTGGCAGCGTTAAGGTCAATATCCCCTCTGACCCTCACCCAGAGCGGCGAATCCCAGTCGTTGTACATGTATTTGTACCCACGCACTTGCTTGTACCTTACATACAGACGGTGCCTCCAAGTGACGAGACAACGGAGGAGTTGCCCGCCTTGTTTTCTGGCTTGCAAAGTGCCATTTATTCTATTTAAGAAGATACCTACTAAGAAACACCCGAAGCAATGTTGAGAGATAAAGAGGCAGTTCCTCTCTCTACTGTGGTATTCCAAGTGTAGAATTTGGTGGCTTTCTCGGGTCCTCTGCTAAGGACGCGTGGATATGGCCATCACGTGACTCCAGAGCTCTGGTCCATTTACGCGCGACCGAGCCCAGCAACTTTTCCTTCGCGTCACCCGTGATAAGTTTGGCCTTGCCTCACTTGAGCAATCCACCCGCTTCTTCTTCCTCTCCCGCCAAATGTTCATCCATTAATCACAATGGCGGAGATCAAGATTGACAGCAAGCTCTTCCAGGAGCGTCTCTCGCACCTCGTCACCGCCTGGAAGAACGACCTCCGATCCAAGGATGGCCTGTTTGGCGGCGCCTCGTCCCTCGTCATCATGATGGGCAAGGTCGAGGAGGTGCCTGAATTCCACAAGAACAACGCCATGCATGTAAGAGCTGCCTTGCGCACCGGCTGCCTTCTGGCTGCGAGAGCTAACATTGTGCTCAGTTCTGGCTTCTGGGATACGAGTTTCCGACGACGCTCATGCTCCTCACCCTCGACGCTCTCTACATCCTCACCACGGCAAAGAAGGGTTTGTCCAATCGCCTGCCAGGCTGAGCTTCTGCTGGCTGAACCGAACCCCCAAGGCTAACCGACGCTGCAGCTAAACATCTCGAGCAACTTAAGGGCGGCCGATTTCCCATCGAAGTGCTCGTGAGAGGCAAGGATGCCGCCGAAAACGAAGCGCTCTTTGTCGCCGTCACAGATAAGATCAAGGAAGCGGGGGTAAAGCCACCATCGAGGCCTATCCGTTTGTTTTTGCGCTCAGAGAGCTGACACAATTTCATCACAGAAGAAAGTGGGCGTCATCACCAAGGATACGTCCAAGGGCCCCTTCGTCGACGAGTGGAAGAAGGTGTATTCCGAGCGCTGCAAGGAGATCGAGGAGGTCGACATCTCCACCGCCCTGTCCACCCACGCCTTCTCCATCAAGGACGAAAGCGAGCTGCGGGCGATGCGAACCGCTTCCAAGGCCTGCGTGGCCCTCATGACGCCCTACTTCCTTGACGAAATGTCCAACATCCTCGACGCCGAGAAAAAGGTCAAGCACTCGGTGCTGGCCGACAAAGTAGACAAGAAGCTCGACGATGCAAAGTTCTGGAAGACCGTCGAGCTGCCCAGCAAGGGCAAGCTGCCTCCGGATCTCGACCCTACCCAGCTCGATTGGGTCCTGGGACCCTCCATCCAGAGCGGCGGCAAATACGATCTGCGCTTCGCTGCCGAACCGAACGACGACTACTTGCACGCCGGCATCATCATCGCTGCCCTGGGCCTGCGATACAAGTCCTACTGCTCGTCTATTGCGCGAACGTACCTGGTTGATCCCAACAAATCGCAGGAGAGCAACTACAAGCTCCTTTACATGGTGCACAACACCATCATCAAGGAAATCCGCGATGGCATGGCAGCAAAGGATGTCTATGCAAAGGCGCTGGCCGTCATCAAGAGCAAGAAGCCCGAGATGGAAAAGCACTTCTTGAAGAACGTTGGCTGGGGCGTTGGCCTCGAGAACAAAGATCCTACCCTCGTACTGAATGCCAAGAACCAGCGAGTTCTCAAGGACGGAATGACCTTGATCATCAACACTGGGTTCCAGGATATCGAGAATCCCCAGCCTCAAGACAAGAACAGCAAGATCTACTCACTGGTTCTCACCGATACCATCCGAGTAACCTCAGCAGAGCCAGTAGTCTTCACTGCCGAGGCGCCGACGAGCGCCGACGCCAACTCATTCTTCTTCAAAGACGATGAGGAGGCACAGCCGACGCCTAAAAAGGAGAAGAAGGATTCGAGGGTCGGTGCGGTCGCAACTAAGAACATTACCAGCACCCGACTTCGCTCCGAGCGCACAGCAACTACGGATGAGGACGCAGACAAGAAGCGTCGAGAGCATCAGAAAGAATTGGCCGCCAAGAAGCAGAAGGAGGGCTTGGCCAGATTCTCCGAGTCGACGGGCGGGCAAAACGGTGGGGAGGTCAAGAAGTTCAAGCGTTTCGAGTCGTACAAGCGAGACAACCAGTTCCCCCCAAAGATCAAGAACCTGGAAATTGTTGTGGACTCAAAGAACAACACCGTTGTTCTTCCCATCATGGGACGACCCGTTCCCTTCCACATCAACACGATCAAGAACGCTAGTAAGAGTGATGAGGGAGAATTCGCCTTTTTGCGAATCAACTTTTTGTCCCCGGGCCAGGGTGTTGGCAGGAAGGATGATCAGCCGTTTGAGGATGCGTCTGCTCACTTCGTCCGCAGCTTGACATTCCGATCGCTCGATGGAGACAGATACAGTGAGATAGCGACTCAGATCTCAAACCTGAAGCGCGACGTTGTCAAGAAGGAGCAAGAGAAGAAGGATATGGAGGATGTTGTGGAACAGGACAAGCTGGCGGAAATCAGAAGTAAGTCCAACATGCCGCGCCCCGAACGACTGATGCTAACAATTTTCACCAAGACCGTCGTCCCGCTGTCTTGGATAACGTGTATATCCGACCAGCGATGGAGGGCAAGAGGGTGCCTGGAAAGGTCGAGATACACCAGAACGGTATCCGATACCAGTCGCCTCTCAATGCCCAGCATCGCGTGGACATTCTCTTCTCCAACGTCAAGCACCTCTTCTTCCAGCCCTGCCAGCACGAGCTGATTGTCATTATCCACATTCACCTCAAGGACCCCATCATTGTAGGCAACAAGAAGAAGACAAAGGACGTGCAGTTCTACCGTGAAGCCACCGATATCCAATTCGACGAAACCGGCAACAGAAAACGAAAGTACCGCTACGGTGATGAGGATGAGTTCGAGGCGGAACAAGAAGAGCGGCGCCGCCGTGCTGAACTGGACAGGCTGTTCCAGGGCTTTGCTCAGAAGATTGCCGAAGCCGGTCGCAGCGAGAACATTGAGGTGGATATGCCCATCCGGGAGCTCGGATTCAACGGCGTGCCATTCCGCAGCAATGTCTTCATTCAGCCGACTACGGACTGCCTCATCCAGGTGGTGGAACCGCCGTTCATGGTGATTACGATTGAGGATATTGAAATCGCCCACTTGGAGCGTGTTCAGTTTGGTCTGAAGAACTTTGATATGGTTTTCGTCTTCAAGGACTTTACACGGCCTCCATACCACATCAACACCATCCCGGTCGAATTCCTTGATCAGGTCAAAGATTGGCTAGACTCTTCGGACATCGCCTTCACCGAGGGTCCTCTCAACCTCAACTGGCCGACGATTATGAAAACGGTCAACCAAGATACACACCAGTTCTTCGTCGATGGCGGTTGGTCGTTCCTGCAGGCCGACTCGGACGATTCAGGCGCCGAGGACGAGTCTGAGGAAGAATCAGCGTTCGAGATGGACGAGGACGAGTTGGACGAAGCGTCAGAGTCCAGCGAGGAGGACTCCGACTTTGGCAGCAACGCTAGTGACGATGATGACGATGAGGAGGCCGACGTGGACAGCGAAGACGAGGGCGAAGACTGGGACGAGCTGGAGAAGAAGGCCAGGAAGCGCGACCGCGAGAGTGGTCTCAATGATGAAGAGAGCCGAGGCGGCAAGAAGTCGCGCAAGCGATGAACGGTCAGGGATACCAGCCAGATGGCAGAGGCTCGAAGCCAATTCGTTGAATAGGGGAGCCAACAAGAAGGCTTTTTATTTGCTTACCTTAGTTCTTTTCTCAGGTATCTTGGGCAGTGTTTTCCGTGTTGGAACTTGTATGAAAAAGAAATGTATGCCGATACGGCTATGTAATGAATACTGGTAGCCCTTTGGTGGGCTTTTGTTTACCTTTCATATTACTCCCTACCTTACGTTCCTTTTTTACGTGGACCTGCTGTCAAATGATTCTGATTGATATGGATTCATCGCTTGAATAGCGACCTACCGTGCGGTGACAGAGCATCCAGTTCAGTAAGAGGCTCATAGTTTCGAAGGAGCCAAACTGGTTAACAAAGTGCTACCATTGTTTCTATCAATAGCCCCTTGCCAGCAAATTTCAAGAAGAGAAATCCAGCAAACAAAAGGATTGTTTGTTTTGCGACAAGAACGGTTTCATCAACTCCCCAACTCCAACAAGAAAGCGCAAAGTTCCTTCGTCCTTCCAATTCCTCCCCCGGCCGGCCTTCCGTCATCTTTTCAACCCCCCTTAGGGATAGTATGTGCATCCTTTCATGTTTCGCATCATGTGTCTGACGTGGAAAGAAACGGTGCACTGCCTCCTGTTCTTTTTCGTAATGTTTCTGATTTCTTCCCTTTCTTTCGAGTAAGGATCGTTTTGGGCCGTGGAAAACGTATTGTAGCAGAAAGGGAAAGGAATCGCCGTGCCCCTTTGACGAAGCCCAAACAAAAGACGTGGAGAAGGAAATAAAGAAGTTATAAAAACGAAGTAAACAAAAGCCGGCCAACGCAGTAGAAAACGATAAAAGCAATGCATTACATCCATGTAAAGCACATTAGTAGTAGAGAAAAGGGGGCAAAGCAGCAACCCAGCTCGTCAACTCCTTCTGCCACCCGCATTGAAACCTCCTGCTGTTCTTCATCTACTCCATCTTCCGCTTTGGTCTACGCAGGTCGGTGGCTCAAGCGGTCGTAGAGCTTGCTGTGAAATCTCGGGCTCATGGGCGCCCGGAATATGCGCGAGCGGAAGCCGCCGCCCCCAGGATGCATCGGGGCCTTGCGGAGCGCCGTGCGGGAGCTGTCGCGAGTCGCCTAGGCCTCGCCGGGACGGATCTCACGGCCCGAGGCCACGGCGGCGCTGCCGCCGGGCTTGGATGCTGGGACGTTGTTCCACGACAAGTAGGTGTGGTCACCGAGTTTTCTGGTAGTCGGGAGGTTAGCAAGAGGAGAAGTGAGAAGGAGTTGACAAGCATATGTCGAGCATACCTTGGCTTGATGAGATGGGAGGCGAGGAAGATGACACCGAGGACAATGCACAGGCCGGCGACGACGATGTAGGCGATGCCCAGGAAGTTGTTGCGACCGCCCACAACGGTACGGGTGGTGATGATGATGGACTTGGTGCCCCTGTATTCGGTAGTGGGGAAAACTGTCATATCATAGTTAGCATAGTGGCCCTTTGCGCGGACATCTAGGTGCAGTCGGCGATTTGTCACATACAGTCATCAACGATAATCTGGTAGCGTCCCTCGGCCATGGCTACGGTGTCGTTGCGCTGGTAGAGCTTGCTGAAAGTCGGCAAGCCGGCGGTGCGCATCCAGACCTGGAATGCCTCCCATTCCTTCAGGTTAGGCGGCGGGTTCTCCTTGGTGTAGCCATTGGGGTAGCGATCACGCCAGTTGGGGGGCGGCAGGATCTCGCTTAGGGCCTGCGTCGTAGGGTTGTACAACTCTCTGTCGCTGCTCCAGGCGATGTTGGTGTTGTTCTCCATCAGATATGTTCGCGTCTCGTTACCACGGCCTCCGGGAGGGTTCAGGAGCTCGGGGCTGGTATACGAGTCGTTGAACATGGAGTTGGCGATGAGACCGCACGGGTAGTACGGCTTCTTAACACCGTCGACAGTTTCGCCGTACAGAGGAGTGCATTTTCCGCCATGAATATCGCCATACGACCTGTTGTGTCCCTTGAGCTGATCAACGTCGAACGAATCGGCGTAGCGACGGTGGTTCTGGTAGAAGTTGGTGAGCTGGTAGTAGAACAGGACCGGCGGGCCCATGCTCTCGGGGATGTTGAATCGCAAGTAGCATCGGTTGCCAGGGATCCTGACGCCCGTGTTGACTGTGATGTTGACGCCGGATTGCACGGCCCATTGCGCGTCAATCGACGAGTTCGAGGTTTTGAACGCAGTCTCTACGTCGCTGCTGGGCATGGGGCCGAAGCCCTTGTTGAAGTCGGGAGCATCGGTTGAGCAGTGGGTGTAATCCAGGCGAATCTCTTGCACCTGCGCGAGGTCCAATCCATCAGCACCAGTACGCAGCGATTCTCGAAGAAAGCAAACAGAGTTTCCGGACATACCTGAGTGCTGGCATATAGCAGCAGGCCGCCGATGGGAGCGAATATGACGCCGATGGCGAAGAACAGAGGCAGGACTGTCTTTGGCGTAAGAATGGGCCTGCGAGGCTGTCAGCATGCGCGGACTCGGGCTTTTTGCGCCGTTGAAGCGACCGGAAACCCTACTGCCAGGCTTTGAGTCGCTGTTGTCGGAAGGCCGTGTCTGTGATGGTCTCGTCGTCAGCACTCGCGCGTCTCCCCCGGCAGCGCATCCAAGAGGCATCCTCCAGCACTCACTCGCAGGGCGGCGGCTCTTCTTCTTGTCCGGCTTGTTCGGGATTTCCTGGGAGTCTATCGAGGAGGTATGACCGCCTCGCGGTGAGTCGGACATGACGGCGGGTTCGATGGGCGCAACAGCGGCAACACGCGAGATTCGAGATAAGGCTGGCGGCTACCGGACGATGGATGATGGAGGTTGTTCCAAGGGGTTTGAAGGAGCCTCGAGACACGGACAATTCAGAGCGCTCACGGTTGTGGCTGATGGGCGCATTACGAGTCTGCCAAGGCTGTGTGGAAACGTGGCGGTGCACGCTTCGTCAGCAGCTTCCGGACTTTCCATTGCCGTAAATCTGCGTGGAAGCTGATAAGACAAAAAAACTGAGGCGCAGTTCGGAACGGAACTCTAGGGTAGACGATGTAACGGACTTCTTACTGTTGAATTGCGACGATGATGAGTTTAGAATGGTATTTCCGGCCTTGTTCCTCATTCATTTCATGGTGACGTGCATCGACCAGCGGTTGTCCGCACGATGAGCTATGTATATTTAGACAGGTGTGGATGATTCGATGATTAGTCATGTCCCCTTACGGTGGTGGTTCATCCACCAAAGTTAGCATCGTGTAATTCGCCAAAAGGAGGACACAGACGTGGACGGTAAACTGCCCGAGTAATAAGCGCAAGTATCGGACTACCTAATGACTTTCTAAGTAGGTATTACGTGGTTGCTCACCTGTTAGAGTTATTCAAGATGCTTGCTCTCGGTCCTCCTTTCTTGCAAGGCCTCCAGTGCTTATTTCGTCGCTGCCAACGTGCTATTTCGATCTGCCGCAACTGATTTCCCATGAGGTGGAAAGAAAGGAGGCCAGGGATCAACGCGGCATGAAATGGTAGCCAGATGTCCATTTCGCTTCAACAGCTGCACGCATCGTCGTGGAGCTCATGTACTGCACTGATTCGCCGTCAGTCGCCGCATATACTATCTGCCTCCAGTATTCTAGAAGGCTGAGCGACGAATCCTCATATACATTGATGGAGCCGGAGGCGCTTTGGCTGCAGGCTGTCATATCGCGCGACTGCTCATCGCTGGCAAGCTCAGATCTTCAACTCCTGGAGGTAAATTTTGATCAGCGCCCCGTGAAGACGAGATCACGGCTTCCCTTTCTCAAGCCCGTTGTCACTGCTTGATTTGCCAAGCATTAAGCGTATGTGTAGACGGGCACTCCGGATGAGTGATTTTGATTGCGGCATCTCCATCAGTGGAACTGCCAGATGGGCCTTTCATCAGGGTGCGAAGCCGATCAACCGATGGAAGCTTTGCCGTCTTCCATGGGAGACGATCACTCGTCACAGCAGGCCGGGTATCGTTGGATCGTCCCTTTGCATATGCCTTAGACATCGGAAGCCAGCGAAGTATTATTAGCTGAGGTTCTCCCGTGTGGAAGACGTTCATTGGCTTCGCCAACGCCCAGTGCAAGCGACAACTCGATCTGTACCGAAGCGAAGGGCACCTAGAGCCTCTGGAATGTAGAGTTACCTCAGGTCGACGGTGAGGGATGGGCAGCTACCCAACCACCTCCAATGCATTCTGTACAGCACGTACTTTGCACTTACAAGTGGCTCATTTCCCCCCCTTCTAGTATGTCTTGTCGTTTGAACAGCTGAAGCGAGTGGGCGTCATGCAGCTTTCAGTATCGTGGTTGGCTGGCCCGGCTGCGAGACATGCTTCTGCGGCCCATTCGAGTAAAGCCCGGACGGATCCGAGAAACCAGGCGAGCATTGACACATGTGCTTCAGTCGGCCTCCATGTCTCCAGTTCCTCCAGTGTTCGTGCTTGCGCAGAAGCCTTGTGCGCCGAATCCCGCACACGCTAATGCGGGCAGTTGTACATACGAAGTACATAATGCCTGCCTCATACCCCATGTTGCCCATGATGCAAGACGAGACATGGTCAAATCTGTTGGGAATACGGTGGCGGCGATTCAACCCTTGAGCCACCCGCGGGACCGTAATGGATAGCAGCAGGAAACCACTAAACGTGTCAGGAGAGTTGAAGGAGGTGAGAAAGCCGACTCGGCACAAGGTATCCGAAGTGGCCAAATCCCATCTTCGACGTCAACAGGAAGGCTGACGACAGCGCCGAGCCCCGGAGGGAGGCGGATGCTCCGTTTGTTACTCGTCGCAACTCTGTATGCACCTTCGATTGGTAAAAGCCTGTCATCGGGGGCATTATATCGGATTTACGAAGGACAAACTCTTGGCTTGCCAACGTGATTGTCGAACGAGTGCCGTCGTCGTGCAAACGGGCTCTGCACCTCACCCTCCATTGATTGGTCGAGGCCGCTCTTTTTTGAAACCGTGAGGCTGGGTTTTGTCTTGACGCAAAAGCGGTGTTTGATAGGTTGGATCCTAGCCGCCGCTCCTCCGCATCCTCCTCCTGCAGAGCACTTTCTGGATACGAATTCGATTCGTTGCCGGCTTCCGCGGCGCTGTCTGGGCTCCTGGATCATCTTTCTCACATAATTAGCTGCTATGTGGTTTGCCACGGCGCCTGTATTGTAGCGCGAGGAAGAAATGCTGCCGCCTGTTGCCAAGTGCGATGTCTGTAGTACAGGCAGTTGCGGAATCGAGTCTGGCGGTTGTTCAAGATGGGGTCGAGGCTAAAAGCAAGCCGTGTGGTAGCCAAGAGCTGAGTGCAGGGAATGTCCCCGTACGAGCTCGACCGACTTTGAGAGTGTTAGCTGCAGCTGTTCTTTGTCCCTCACGGTCTTTTGCTCATGCGTTGCCGATGAGCCTGTTGCCTCTCTCTTGCACGTTTGGCCTCGTCTCACCCTTGTTCATACCAGAGCTCGCCGCTTCCAAGACCTAGACAGTGCTTTTTCCGTGCAAATCTCCCTTGCAGTCTCTACACAATTATGTGTAGATATGGTGATGACCATAACCCGGTGGTGGTTGACCGCCAGAAGAGAGAGATGCAAGGATGAGACACTGATGTCTTGGCCTGCGCTGTTGCGTGGAAGTGCCAAGAGTGCCAACTCTCAACTGATTCACACGTATCGATTAGCCAATATGCGAGTATCGATATCCAGTAACGAGGAAGGTGCGATTCAGACGGAGCGTGCACCTGCAGCAAATACATAGCCAACCAGACGTCATAGCTCCCATTTTGGACACTGTGAAGCATTAGTACTGTATTCCCTCAACTTCTTCCTTCAGCCATCCGTCTACCAACTCTGCGATATCTGAGCTGCTACGGATACATCTAGAAACAACTCGGAAGAAACGAACACTTGACGAACAAACAGAACAGCCTGCAAAAACCCAGAAGATCAGGTACACAACACAGTACGGAACATGAAGTAGAGTGCGCGATCGGCTTTGCTCTGTTCTGTCTGGTTGTTCGCTAATTGGAGAGCCAGAACTTTGTCTTCCTTCTCTCCAGCTGCCTACACTGTCCGGATGCCAATGCTGGCTGCATTATGAAGGGTCTATTTCGCACCCCGTTCATACTAAAACACTAGGTAATGAGGTACATGCCCACCCACAAGAGCGAGGCGCAGCAAGACGGACTTGACTGACCATCAAAGTGATTCCCAACTCCCAAGCAGAGCCCCATCTGGCGGCCCCTGCTTTGCCGCCCACACTTGGGACACACAGATTGGGCAGGCCTGGATAGGCCAGGACAGGCTGGGGTCTGACACTTGAGCTCAGCAGGGCCAGCAAAGTGTGTTGCGAAAACGAGCTACTTCGTACGAGCCACCGGGTTTCGCATCTGTCATCAGGCTATGGTCCATGCATGACCTGTCCCGGAGGCTGCAACGCGGCAGAGAGGGCTCCCGTCGCCAGGCTTCCCATCGAAGGGGCGAGAGCATTTACAGGCAGCCCCCAGAGCAGAAGCTCGCAGAAACTCTCGATTCTCCAGACCGGCAATGGCAGCACTGCGAGCTCTCGTGGTGCTTGCAGCTTCGGAGGGAGCTTGATGAATTCCGAGTCATCGGTGAGGGCGACGGCTGCTGCCGGGGGAAATGGATCGCTGGTAGCGTCGGGTCGTTCTCTAGTGGTGTCATCAGCTGCCTCCGCGACTACAAAGTCCTCACTAAAGCCGCCGTCTAGTCCGATTCATCGCCTGCCTGCATGGCAAGCAGCGCCTGAGCTATGCACGACTAAAGGCAATAATACCACCCACGGCACAGGCTGCTCCGTCCATCGTCCGCACTCATATAAAGAGGCACACTAATCAGCCCGGTGCTGCAAAGTATCTGTACCAGGGCCAGTCGCTATTTGGCGCTGTGGACAAACTTCTCTGCTTTACAACCTCCACTGAGAGTAGCCGCCCTCATCTCGCTGAATTTCCCACACCCTAGCCGCGGGCGGTTCGGCTCCTTGGAGCACAGTCAAAGCGATCCTTGCTGGGGAGCCGGTTCAAATGAAGGGATACATTTGACTTTCCCGAAGCACTTGAAGCTTTCCCTCAGCTTAGATCTCACCGAGACCTTTAAGAGGAACCTTGCCCCCCCGCCACATATCCGTGACGCCTGCAGAGTGGCCTCCCTTAACCTTGCTTGCTTGGCTCTACATATACCCAGGCAGCATACACGCATTCCCAGCGGGGCAGCTCACTCACCCGCCACCAAACTCTACTGGACTCCCTTCTTACAAGGCCACGCGCCTCTGCTGTCATTCGGCTATCTGCGCCCGTCAGGCCCATCAGTCGCCATTCTATATCCCTTCTCCCTCTTCGACTCTTCTTCCTATTTTCTTCTTATTTTGTCTTCTTATTTAAGAGACACCGCTAAGGATTACATTTACATCCCGTCTGCGTCTATCTATTTTCGATAAACTCATCTAGCCTCGGCTTGTTTCTCACCATGGCTTCTAAGACGGCATCTCGGAAGCCCCGTGTGAGCCGGGACACCGGCTTCCCGGAGCCATTTGATCAATGTGAGCAGAACACACCTTTGCCACGCCGCCGTTTCCCAGCTTCAATGGACATTTGACTGACTCTTCATTTTTCCTACATCAAGTCAGCAATACTACTCTCCCTCACCCAGACGCCGACCTCTCGCCAAACGCTTGTATAACACACGACGACCTGGTTGGCGACTATGCTCTCAAGAGAAAACGAATGTCATTCCTATCCCGAAACAAGAACAGGCGAACCCTCACCCATGGAAGCCTGGGCGCGCAAAGCGGTCTCGTCAATAGTGTCATGTCCCTGTCGCTATCCCGCTCCAGCAGCAGCAGCCTTCAAGTCGGTGAAGCAGCCCCTAAGTTGACGAGTCCTTCGACAGCCAGCTTCCAGTCCAAAAGCGGCAGCGAGAGCGCGGAATCGACCAAGAAGGAAGATGAGACACCGCCATCATCGCCCGACAGTATGAGCCACAGCCCGAAGAAGTCGCATCGGTTCAGCAAGTGGAGGCGCTCTCGAGGTGAAGACCGGGATTGAGCTGTTGGCCATATACATACCGCCTTTTGACACATCGTCGACGACATACACCGTACATTTCTTTGCTTTCTTTGGAGACCGGATGCGCAAAGGGAAAGGGGACAAAAAACTGGAATGAATTTACGACTTTCTTTTGTGACCTGGTTTATACAGATATACAGATATTTCACCTTAATCTATAAGCGACGGAGTTTTGGGGCGGGGTTTGAAATTGGGAACATGGCAGCAACAGATGGATGACACGGCCATTCTCGTCAGATCACGGGTAGTGCTGCTGCTTCATCCCTTCAAAGAAAAAGGGAGTTCAACTCTGACTTCGCACAAGTTTACAATGGCTTGGGACCTGGTTCGACTTTGTGAATTTACGACATGCAGACTGAGAAGTACCATAGCTGATATGTTGATTAAAGCTGAATATAGTGGCTGTGTAAACAATTACGACCAGCAGCACGCTTTCATGATGATGAGACTGTCATCTTTCTTGATTAGATTCTCATTCCTAAAGAAACTGGAATAGTAGAGCAACTAGACTATGCACAGGCGCTTTCCGCTACGACTCAGCTGTGGAGCTCCATCTTCCTCTTTCCCCCCTGAATGACACAAATGGCATGAAGATCTCCTCGCCACATCTAGCTGCCACGGTAAGTGGTGTAGCTGTACGGACTCAGCAGCAACGGAACATGATAGTGCTGCCCCTGGTCGACCCGGAACACAACAGTCGCCTCCGGGAAGAAGGTCTGGTCCTCGCCAAAGTAGCCCGCGGTATCGAACCGCAGCGTCCACCGCGAAGGCCCCTGCACGGCGCCGAGGACGTCCTCGAGGGTGTAGATGGGGACCTCACCCGAGGACGTCTCGGAGCTGTAGGGCAGCCAGACGGTGATGCGGCCGTCGTCGTTTGTGAGGGACTCGAAGGTCTTGAGGGCGTTGTGGGCGTTGTGGCTGGAGGGGTGCGCGGAGGCGGAGGAGACGGGGGCGGGACCCTCGAGGCGGACGCGGAGGCCCTTTGCGGGGCGGCCGGCGGTGGTGTCGAGGACGTGGCAGGTGATGCGGTCTTTGTTGCTGGCCATGGTGGATTGTCTTTTGGTGTTGTTTTTTTTTTTTGGATGAGATTTTATTTTGAGAGTTGTGGTGGAAGGGGGTTTATGTGAGAGGGATGAGATATGGTGAGATGGTGGGGTAAGGCTGCTAGACACGATGCTCCTGGAGTTGTAGATGATTGAAACGAAGCTTGAGGAGTAAGGAGAAGAGAAGCGCCCGAAAGGAGGGAGGGATCTTGCTTCTTTATATGCGTCCAGCCGTCTCTGCCGTCTCCAGTAAGGACCTGCGAGGCTGTGATTGTGGGATGAGTTCAAAATGCTCAATATAGGATTCACCAAAGGTCGGGTCAAGTCAGTAGTGTAGGACTTTGGAGCTGGTCTTCTTTTATAGCGGGCATCCAATCAGTGCGAGCCACGCTGTGCGCCGGCCGCCGTTGGTGGAGGTGGCCGCCTGTCGAAGGCTTCTATTCTGAGGCGGGACTGTTGGTTCGGCAGCAGGCTGTGATGAGTTTCATGTTTGGCGAGTGTTGATTGCTTGGTTTGTATTGCTGGATTCAGTTGCAGCTAGGCTGAGACTGACGAGATGCAGTCAAGCTAACCACCGCATGCTACCTTGTGACAAGGCTGAATACTATCCAATGTCGTCACACCCCTTCCTACCTTATGTATTTCTGTCTCTCTAAAAGCAACGGCGAATGTACTATATTATGGCATTAAACGGTCCCAAAGATAAAGCGTGTAGCCTCTCACCACTTGGCCGCCATCGACTGTCGGCACTATTTTGTCCGCCACTGCCCCTCCATCGGCCGTCGCATCTCATTTTCTTTCGCCTTCCAAAGGCCTCGAACCGCTCTTATCCGCCCCCTTCTTGTGACCGTACCTACATATGTATGTAGTCCTGTAGCCTTGCCAGCCATCGTCTGCGTCACCGCTAGCCTCGCCTCCTTCTCTCCTGCCTTCTCTTCGACTCTTGTTTTTGCTTTCCTCGTTCAACCAGCTTATCTAATCTTTGATTTTATCTCTTCTGATACTCCTTCTTCTTCTCTTCTCTCCTCCATCTCCAGCCCTTGATTACGCCACCCCGCAATCCACATACAGCACAATGGCCGCCGTCATCGACGACGACGCCCTCGAGCCGTCCCTCCAGTCGCTCCTCGACCAGCGCTCCCTCCGCTGGATCTTCGTCGGCGGCAAGGGCGGCGTCGGCAAGACGACCACCTCGTGCTCCCTGGCCATCCAGCTGGCCAAGGTCCGCCGCTCCGTCCTGCTCATCAGCACCGATCCCGCGCACAACCTGTCTGATGCGTTCAACCAAAAGTTCGGCAAGGAGGCGCGCCTCATCAATGGCTTCGACAACTTGAGCGCCATGGAGATTGATCCCAACGGCAGCATGCAGGACCTGCTGGCTGGCCAGGGCGAGAACACGGAGGATCTGAATGCCATGGGCGGGGGGATTGGCGGCATGATGCAGGACCTTGCTTTTGCAGTACGTTTAGAAATCCCTTCACCAGGATGCTATCGATCTGTTACGGACTAAGCTAATCGTTACTGTGTCATGTCGCAGATCCCCGGTATCGACGAGGCCATGTCCTTTGCCGAGGTCCTCAAGCAGGTCAAGTCCCTCTCGTACGAAACCATCATCTTCGACACCGCCCCCACGGGCCACACCCTCCGCTTCCTGCAGTTCCCCTCGGTCCTCGAAAAGGCCCTGGCCAAGGTCTCCCAGCTGTCGTCCCAGTACGGCCCGCTGCTCAACGGCTTCCTCGGCTCCAGCGGCGCCCTGCCCAACGGCCAGAACCTCAACGAGATGATGGAGAAGCTCGAGTCGCTGCGCGGCACAATCTCAGAGGTCAACGCACAGTTTAAGGACGCCGAGCTCACCACGTTTGTGTGCGTCTGCATCGCCGAGTTCCTCAGCCTGTACGAGACGGAGCGCATGATCCAGGAGCTGGCCAACTACGGCATCGATACGCACAGCATCGTCGTAAACCAGCTGCTGTTTCCCAAACAGGGCAGCGATTGCGAGCAGTGCAATGCTCGGCGGAAGATGCAGCGCAAGTACCTCGATCAGTACGAGGAGCTGTACGCCGAGGACTTCAACGTCGTCAAGATGCCGCTGCTGGTGGAGGAGGTGCGAGGGAAGGAGAAGCTGGAGAAGTTTAGCGAGATGCTGGTGAAGCCGTATGTTCCGCCGCAGTGAGGGTGATGGAGGGAGGAGGGGATGCGGCTAGCTGCGAGGAGAGAGAAATACACAGAAAGAGTAAAAAAAAAAAAAGACTAAATTTTGAGACGTTCTACGGAGTACGAGCAAGGGGATCTGTATTGTATGTGTCTAGATGCTTTCCCGGGATAGATTTGTACACGTTAGGGGCTACGATACAGGTTTTCTGTGTGGTCGCGGTTTCACACGATTATGATTGAAATGTCAAGCTTTGAACGAATTTGCTCACGAGACTGGAGAAAAGGCGGATGATGGAAATTCGTTTCTTCAATTGGAGCTTAGTATCGCCCCCGACCTATCCTACCAAAATATCCCTAACAGGCGCTTTCATCACGCCTCAACCAACCTACTATCCACCCTCCCCCCTTCCTTCAATCCAGACCGCAGCCATCCTCATCCTCATCCTCTCTGTACGAGAGGGGATTCAACAAGAGAAGAAACTTGGAAACAAAACTTTCCGCGTGCCTTTGATGCTTCGTCATCCTAAAATAGGGAAGAAACCGTATATATAATAAAAGAAAAAACCAATGCGATATCAATGCCAAAACCGATAACAGGAGGGGAAAGAGAGAGAGCAAATGTGAATGGGGAACGCCTATTCCAAGTTTCAAGCTGACTGAGGGCAGCCCGGGTTTTGTCGCAAGAGAGGCTGTGCGATAGTATGTCCTCCATGTTTGTCCATTGTATGTTTTGTGTTTTGTGTGCTTACTAGCTGGAGATGCAATGCTTTTTTTTTTTTTTTGTTTGGTTTGTGAGGGTATGTGTATTTGTGTATTGTGTGGGTGGGTGTATGCATAAAGGGGGATCGTTCATTAAGAGCGAACAAAATGGGGAGGAGAAGAAATGGCTTTCAAGAAGCCAAACCCCATGGCAGCCTGAAAGCATAGATATCAAAGATGGTCAAGACAGAAGTTATTCATCCTGCCTCATTGCACTTTCTCTCAAAGCTCGCGGTAGTCGCTTGGCCGTACTCTGCGTTGCTTGTTCTGGTGTCGATGCGGGTTGACGGGTTTCCGGAAATAGGCGTCCTCTTCGCCGGCGCAGGCGCCGCCTTGAGGAAAGTTGCCGCCGTTCTGGTAGCCGTTCATCATGCCTCCGGCCATTGCGCCGCCGCCCATCCTGCCCATGCCGTTCATGTTGTTGCTCATGCCACCCATGTTGTTCATGCCCCAGTTGCCGTTGGCGGGGCCGCCGCCCATGTTGTTCATGTTGCTCATGTTGTTCATACCGTAGCCGCCGTTCATATTTCCGTAGCCTCCATTCATGTTGTTGAAGCCTTGCATGCCCATCATGGGCATATTCATCATGGGCATGCCCATGCCCATCCCCAGGTTCATGCCCATATTCATGCCCATGCCGCCCATGCTTCCCATACCCGGCATCGGCGGCATACCCATCATGTTTGGCATCATACCCATGCCTCCATTGAACATCATGTTATTCATACCCATGTTGGGCATGTTGGGCATCATGTTGCCATTGGCCATGCTGTGTGACTGCTGGTTCTGCATGGCGCGGGGCCCCTTGGGTATCTTGGGATTCTCCAGGAAATCCTCGGCGGGCCTCTTCTTCGACGAGGCATCCTCTGCCTTGACAACCTCAATCTTGCCGCCGGTGGTTGAAGTGCTAGAAACGAGGCTTTTTGACTCGGCTGAGGGAGATTTGGATGACGAAGCGGCCCGTTCTGTAGCTGTAGCTGGTGTGTCGGACTTTTCCTTTGGAGATTCGATGCTGGTAGGCAGCAGGGCCTTGCCCTCAGCGGCGTCTCCCCCTTCGTCTTCCTTCTTCTCTGCATCCTTGGCTTGATCGTTCTCCGAGTTGCCCGCAACTCCTTCCGAGGTGTCCTTGGGCGACGATGGCGGGGTCACCTTGGCAGCTTCCTTCTCCTTAAGGTACTCCTGAATCTTCTTTGACGCTTCCTCGTCGGGCTGGAGATCATCGATTAGCACACCTTCGGTCTGACAAGCAGGGCAGACGAAGTCGCTTTCGATGAGTGCGTTGGTTATGCAGTCATTGCAAAACGTCTTCTGGCAGCACGGGGTTTTCATTGGCTCTATGAACATCTTCTTGTCAATCGAACACTCGAGACCACGCTCCTGCACTTCCTTGTCCTCCTCCCGCGCAGTCTTGGATGCGGAGGACGAGGATTTGGCCTTGGCCTGGAACTGTTCCCAAGATGCCTTGTCTGGCTCGGCAATGACAAAGTCTCCTTCGGCGTTGACCATGATTCCCGAGGGCCGCTTGGTATCATCGCCTTCAGACTGAGCTAGGATGACAGACTTATCCACCTTTTGCAAGAACGAACGGGGAATGCCAGTGGTACGTTTGACGCGAGGTCGATTGTCAAAGTCAGGGTCATCGTTGGTCGGGCACAGCTGGATCCAGTGGCCCTTGTTTCCACATCGGTAGCAAATGTAGCCATTGGGAGGATCATGGTCAGGAACATTTGCTGGCCGCTTGGTGCCAGGCTTGAAAGGAACTGGTGCTTGGCTATTTTAGAGAAAGTGGTCAGCAACGAATATATACCAGATGAAGACGGGGAAAATGTCATGGACGTCAAAACTTACTGAGACAACTCTTCTTGCTGGGCTGACCACTGCTCCGTTTGGGCAGCGAACATGGCCGCCATGCGGTCCTCCTCTGTCATGGCATCGTTCATCTGGCTGAAGGCATTTGTGCTCGGCTTGGACGCCGATACCTTGGATGACTGCTCCTTGCGGCCGGCGTTCTTCGCCGCCACGGGCATCTTCCCCGAAACATATCGCGCAGCTCGTCCGGCTCCAGGCTTAATAGCCGGCTGTCGCCGAGCAATCACGGTCGTGGATCTGGGAACAATCGTTGTGTCATCGTCATATTCTGACAGTCTTTGAGTCAGCACTTGACACGCTCGGTGATGCAAGGGATGGGCTTTGTTCGTTGATAACTCACCTTCACTATTATCGTCTGTGTAAATGAACAGGTCGAAATCCGTGCCATCGCCCAGTCCGCTCTTGTTGATGATTTCACGCTTGAGCTCGAAGACTGAGATACCTGTGCCATCAAATTCCACCCTGGTGGGCTCCTTCTGCGACTTGAACTTGAAGAACACTGAAGAAGACATCGTTGCTGCTGAGGAGGCTGGTTCTCTTTCCTCTCGTTTTCGGTTACGGGTAACAAAAGCAATAAAGAGAGCGAGGGTAAAGAGGTGAGGACGTTAGACTCGTCAACTGCAAGCCCGAAGTGGTTATATATCTGTGAAGTAAATACGTCGGAAGAACTCAGTCGTATAACAATGACTAAGTGAGTATTGATTTTTCTTGTTGCTAGAACCTTTTTCTTTTTGCTTTTTCTTCTTCTCTTCTGCTCTTTGGGTGTGCACCTCCGTGCTGTTTCAACTCAAGCTGAACTCAAAATAATCAATTCTGATTGTAATTGGAAGAAAAAGAACAGAGACAATAGGGCAAATTGGGTATTGTGAATAATGGAGTACAAGCGGCAAAAGCCAGAAGGAAAGACAACCCTAGAGTTCCCCCTCACTTCCTGATCACCATAATAGACCAGCCTATGCACCAGCAGATAAACAGCCCTTTGTTAGCCGTCTTCGGAACCTCCGTGAGACAGACTAAGCAAACTCCAAGAAAACGGAATCAAGCGAGGACGGAACAATGGGAAGTAATTCAGCAAGTCGATCGTCGGCGGCGGAGGAGATACGGGAGTCGCTCCGTGGGCGACGTCGCCAGACGGCTTGGTTACGAGGGCGAATTCACCAGAGGCTGAGACGCACAGCGATCGCGCAAAGCGAGGCCGCGGGGGCTTTCAAAGTCGCCGAAGCCGCTGCTCAGCGTGTCTAGAATCGATGGACGGCGCGCGAGCAGTTTCCCGGCCGCGATTCCTCGATGAGTCGGTGATGGTTTCGATGGCGGTCGATGGAGTCGGTGGTGCGAAGGGGAGAATGAGGAGGAAAAAACAAGAAGCGGAGGACGGGGACTGCTAAGGCCATTATTAATGGGACGCGGTATTGATAACGAGCCCAGGCCGCTTTTCGTCCCAACGGCGTTTGTCAGGGCCGGCAAAACTTTTCTCCGGAATGCACCGCTCACGTGTCCCGGCTCCGTATCTGAAGAGGGCAGCAGGTGCAGCATCAACGGGGCAATTGGGAGCGAACCTTGAAGGACGAAGGAGACTTTGGAGGTACTTTTGTCGCGAACGTCTTGCCAGTTCTCCGCTCAGACACAAGCCGGCTTATTTCTCCGATGGGGCAGCCTTCAAATCAGGTACCTCTGCGGTATCCCGTTCCTCGTCCAATTGCAGCACCTTGATTGTTCGCGCCTGCCGTTGGTAACCGGCTCACCAGGAAAAAAGTTCCCCTCCATCTGCCCCGCCGCGTGAAGCTTCTGCAGCAGGTGCGACTGCTGGAACTTCGCGCTGAAGCAGGGCCGTCTGAGGGAGGGCGACATGCCCCGCACCGTTCTTTCTTCATGACTTCTCTCCGCTGCTCGCGACAAATCTGGACGAGAATCAAGCCCTTCGCTCCATTCTCTCCTTTTGCTCTTCAGCCTCCTCAGATCCCTCGATTTGCCTCTCGGCCGTATCTCACCGACTCGATCCGTGCTCACCAAGCAAGAAAGATGGCGCCTCAACTCGACAGCTTTTTCAGCCAGGTGGACAGCTCTGCTGACCACTTCATTGAGCGTCTTCGCAAGGCTGTGGCTATCCCTTCCATCTCGGCCGAGGATGCCCGCCGTCCCGATGTTGTTCGCATGGGCCACTTCTTGGCCGACGAGCTGAAGGCTCTGGGTGCCGAGGTTGAGCTGCGCCCGCTGGGCAAGCAGCCTCACAAGGAGCACCTCGACCTGCCCCCCGTTGTCCTCGGACGATATGGCAACGACAAGAACAAGCGAACGATCCTCGTGTACGGACACTACGATGTTCAGCCTGCCGAGAAGAGCGACGGATGGGCAACCGAGCCCTTCGAGCTCTCGGTTGACGACAAGGGCCGCATGTTCGGTCGCGGTTCGACCGACGACAAGGGACCTGTCCTGGGCTGGCTCAACGCCATTGAGGCCCACCAGAAGGCCGGCGTTGATTTCCCAGTCAACCTGTTGATGTGCTTTGAGGGTATGGAGGAGTACGGCTCCGAGGGTCTGGACGATCTGATCAAGGCCGAGGCCAAGAAGTTCTTCGCCGACGCCGATGCCGTCTGCATCTCGGACAACTACTGGCTCGGAACGGAGAAGCCCTGCTTGACCTACGGTCTCCGAGGCTGCAACTACTACTCTATCGAAGTCTCTGGCCCTGGTGCCGACCTGCACAGTGGTGTGTTTGGTGGACAGGCTCACGAGCCCATGACCGACCTTGTTCAGGTCATGGCTTCTCTCGTTGATTCCAAGGGCAAGATCCTGATTCCCGGCATCGCGGAGCAGGTTGCCCCTGTCACTCCGGAAGAGGAGAAGCTCTACGAGAGCATTGCTTTCACCATGGAGAACTTGCACGAGTCCCTGGGCAGCACCACCACCATCCACGAGGAGACCAAACCCACTCTGATGGCTCGCTGGAGATACCCCTCGCTGTCACTGCACGGCATCGAGGGTGCCTTCTCTGCACCTGGTGCCAAGACGGTCATCCCTGCCAAGGTCGTTGGCAAATTCTCCATCCGAACTGTCCCCGACATGGACATTGACGCGACCAACGCCGCAGTCTACAGGTATGTCGAGGAGCAGTTTGCCAAGCTCGGCAGCAAGAACACCATGAAGGTGTATGCCCAGCACACCGGCAAGTGGTGGGTTGCCTCACCAAAGCACTGGAACTTTTCCGCCGCCGCCAAGGCCGTTAACCGGGTTTGGGGAGTTGACCCCGACTTCACTCGAGAGGGTGGAAGGTGAGTTTTTCGTCCTGTCTCTGCTTTAACCACCGGATGCTAATATCGTTGTGCAGTATCCCCGTCACCCTCACCTTTGAGGAAGCCACTGGCAAGAACGTCCTGCTGCTGCCCATGGGAAGCTCAACGGACGGCGCCCACTCCATCAACGAGAAGCTTGACAAGCGCAACTACATTGAGGGCATCAAGCTGCTGGGTGCTTACCTGCACTACGTCGCCGAGGAGCCCCAGAACTAACTGGAAAATGAGTAATAAATGGATAAATAAATTGAAGCATTAGAGGCATGCGCATTGTTCATGATCAAAAGGCATAGCATGCTTCATCTCTTGCATGAAGATCACAGTCCATGTGAAGGTCTGTCAGCTCACACCAACCGATCAGCAATTATTCCCTTATCACCACCGAGGCCCTGCTCCACCCGTGCGTCTGACGGCTCGTCCGGCTGTTGTAGCGGCCCAGCTTAGCGGCATCTGGGCCCCAAGTGACACGAGGAATGGATCGATTGGAGGCCCAAGCTGCAGAGCCCGAGACAAGTCCCGGCGCTGCAGCCCGCCGCTAATCACTAACGGGCATTTTGACGCCCCATGACCCTCGAACTGGGCGGCGGCCCAAGGGAGCTCTCAAGCAGTTGGGCATGAGATGTCACTTGGAGGTGCTCTACATACATTAGTATCTGACAAGTTGTTCCATGTACGATTGATAGTATGAACATTATTATGGCAATATTTGAAAAAGGCAAGTCAGACCTGGATATCATACATAGAAAACTGTCATGGTATAGCAGTAAACGAGTCTGAAGACCCAATCACGCAGGTATAGGAACTGACGTATGATGCTGAGAGCTGTGTATCACCCGGCAGCGTTCTGTACATTGGGCGCAAAGGAACGGATTCAGACATCGGGTGTTTGTATGCGGGGTTATTGGGTGATCAATCATAGCAATGCCGTAGCGGCACTCGCCATAGTCCATCCTTTCTGTAGGTGAGAGACGATAGTATTACAGTTTGTGGTGGTAGGGCGGTGTCGGATGTTGTGTTGGGGTCAAGCCACCGGGGAAGCTTTCAATCCCCAGCAGCACCTCGTTTCTGGGCCCGAGTTTGTTTCTTTTCTCAGACAATCTCTCCTTTTGCTTTACCGCCATTCGCTGCTGAGCACCTCCTCGTTGCTTCTCTGCTTCGACTTCCTGGTGATTTGAAGAATCTAGTACTGCGAATACTGCATGGCGAGCTTGATCTGGGGCGCCTCCACTCTCAACGACGACGACACTCCCGCCATGGTGCGTGAGAGCGGCATCTCGGCTACCAAGCCCGTCTTCCCCAGCTACCTCCTCCCCAGCTTCAAGTTCGCTTTCCCCGGCCGTCGCCGCCATTCCGCATCATCCACATCGTCCACAGCATCGTCCACACAATCGGAGTCGTCAAGCGTCGTCTCATCGGCAGTGACCACGCCGGCCGGCTCTCCTCCAGATGGCCGCGATTCTGCTGCCTTTGATGCACCGAAGAAGAGCAAGGCATCGTCGCCGGGCCGACGGCGGCTCTCTCGGACGGCGGCGGACACGCTGCGCTGTTCAAGCTGTTCGACGGACATCGCGTTCACGTCGCAGATTGTTTCCAAGGGATTCACCGGTCGCTATGGCCGTGCGTATCTGATTTCGCCGGCCACGCCAACCAAATCGTCGTCGTCGTGGTCGTCGGCGCCCCCATCGCTGCTGAACATACGGATCGGCAAGGACGAGAATAGGCAGCTCGTCACAGGGTGGCACGTGGTGGCGGACATTTGCTGCGGGATATGCTCGCGCAAGCTGGGGTGGAAGTACGTGGACGCCAAGGAGGAGTCGCAAAAGTACAAGGTGGGCAAGTTTATCTTGGAGACGGAGCGGGTGGTGACATATCGGAGCTGGGAAGATGTGCCTCTTTCCGAGGAGGGCCGGGAAGTCGCATGTGGGATGGAGGCGGACCGGGGAGGGGAAGATGATGATGAAGGAGAAGAAGAAGAAGGGGGCGAGAGGGAAGAGGAGGTTGAGTTTGATTCTTCGGATGAGGAGGAGTGCGAGGCTGTTTTTGCTGGGGTTTGGGATGCGGAAACGGCTGCTAGGCGGAGGATTCGCTTGGGCAAGTGAGTGGCTGGCATGATGGTGATGGATGAGGTTGTTGAGACTTTTACGAGATACCATTTTGCTGCAACTCTTTGCTTTTCTTTTCTTTTCCCTGCCGCAGTTACGAGGGGCAAGAGGATACCCAAACAACAGTTGCAACTTTTCTTCATATTTCCTACCTTTTTTGAGCTCTAACAAGACGATAAGATGATGGTCCTTCAGTTACAATGTACTATGCGATTCGGGCTTTGGCTTCGTTTATTTGACTTTCACAAATCCATGTCCCTTTTGCGACGTCGAACTTTGTGCATGTCTTGTCGGTGCAAGATTAGATATTGATCCATCGCGGCACCAAGATAGCATTGACGATAATGAGAATCATCTCTGCATCTCGCAAATAAAGCGGTGTTTCGTACCTGTGCACCAGATATCTGTATCAAGGACAGTCTGTCATACTTTGGGCATCCGACATCGTGAAGAGTGTGCAACCGAGGGCGCGTTTGAGCTGACAACACATAATACTCCTACAGACGCCTATCGGTACGACGCGCAGCCGGTGTGTAATGGGCATGTACAGGGAGGCTGATGTGGCATAAATATAATCAAGATAGTGGCGGGAAACCTACTCTGATTGTTGAGGAGGTTTCATCTGTGAAGTACAGGAGGATATCGCCAGATGCAAGGGGGCTGATGGTGATGAGCTGGACCAGAGGTGAGGTAAGGCAAGGTAAGGCAGGTGAGGCAGATAAGCATACATGATACAGGGACAATCTGGCCGTGTGTTGCCCTCGCTCTCATGTAGGAAGTAGATGGTACATGTAAGGGTCTAGGTCACTTGATGCTTTTCTCAAGCTGCCTTCCCCCCCTTCATCTCCCATTCAAGTCTAGAATCCTTGTGGATGGATGGGGGAACGCACACCGGCTTCAAGCCCCCTGAGCGGGATGATATGCGCCTCGTACAAGCGTTGAGATGGTGTATGAGTACAATGATATCTCTGCATTGTATCTAGATACAGATTCCAACGGTATTCCGTGCCTGTCCAGTACTTTCTAGTCTAGTCCTCTGGCGATCTGTGTCGTGATGCCACGAGCGGTGGAGCTGTTCAAGATAGATAGCGGGTTCATCTCCAGCCATGAAAGGCATTTTACGGAGCCGTATGGTGTCACCGGTGGGCATCAATGACTTGCAGGTGCCCGTTCAGCGCCCAAGCCTGGATGTAGTTGTACTGTACTTGTACTGTCGGGTATGTGCATCCGGACAAGCAGAACTTCAGGTCAGATGGGATGCTACAGTACCTAATACTTGTACGCAATCCCATCACCGTTGACGGGCTGTAATTGCTAATAATGAGGGGGACCCTTTGGGGGCGCTGCCAATTCCTCTTGAACTCCCGCGAAAGGGGGACAGGGGTTGGCAGCAGCAAATCCCAGCCGTCAAGCCCCGTAGGAACCGAAACGTGGGGGGAATTTCCAGCGGAAGCCATTGGAAGGCTGGCCCCAGAAATCCGGCCGCTTCCATTTGCTGGCTGGCCAGAGAGCCGCAGTGTCGTCATCTCGTCACTTTGTGCAAATGACTGCATTTTCCCTCTCTCTGCTAATTTTTTTTCCTCTTAGGCTTTGGCCATGAATTTAGGAGGTACCTTAGTGAGTACAGTACAGTAATAGTGGACTTGATAGTGGACTTCAGAGTCTGAGCAGGTGCCACAGCGGGGTGGGCGGTGAACGAATTGTGTCGAGCAGCCCAAACAGCTCGAACCCACAGCTGCGTAACTGGTTTGACGTTGACGTGTTGATGCAACCAGCATCCTCTGCGCTTCAGTCTCTGCCTCTCCCCTCCGTCGATCGCCTGTCCCGAGTCTCTCGACGCTCCCTCTTGTATCATTATTACCACGGCCCTCTCACGCCGATACCTACAGCTACCTACCAGCCTCGGCCAGCTGCCGCCCTGCCGCCTCGTACCGGTACGTCGCTGCGTCGCCTCCTTGGGCCAGATTCCGTGCCCCGCAGGGTCCATGCATCCCGTCGCCGTGGCCATCCATGCCAGTCCATGCCGTGCCATGCCCTGCTAGGCGGGCGAGATGGTGGTCATGGCGAGATCAGGGTGGTGACGGATGGCGGACGAGCTGGTCGTTGAAATGGGAGCTCGCCCACGCTCGTGACCCCCCTGATGCCGGCCTTGCGTATCCTGTACTTTGCATTCCTACTCCTCCAGCCATTTGCTGACCTACCTACTGCTACTGTACAGACCGGCCATCGGTGTCACCTCCAGAGCCCTCAAGGTTATTTATCACGCCCCCGAGACTGTTGGACGAGAGCTTGGCTACGTTGTTCCTGGCCCCTTCTTCTATTACTGGTCCATCACGACACCCACCACCACCTTCGCCGCCGCCGCCGCAAACTGGTAATTGATACCCCTCCGACAACTTCGGTCATCGCAGCCGATTCGAGAGGCGTCCGATACATCGATACTTCGACACAACGACAATTTGATACCTCCCGCATCCCAGATGCAAGGCACGTCGAACCACCGCTCTCGCGGTTCCGACGACTACGGGATCTACGATGATGCGAAGACGTACTATGCGTCCGAGGAGCGACACAGCAACCGCTATGGCGTTCGAACTCGAACCTACTCCCAGGTAGGTGTCATCGGTGAAGACCAATGCAATCATACTCAGGATTGAAAGTACTGACGCAGAATGCTATAGAACAGCTTGGTGAAGCAGCTGGAGAGAATGGGAGCCACGGAGCCATTCCGGCGCGGGAGCCACGGTAAGTCGCCTCGTCCTCGCATGTGGGATACATGGTTTTAACCTGAGCCTCACAGATGAGACCACCATGGATCAAGGTCGCCGGTTCCTCGTCAATGTGGATGCCACCTTGGAAATCCTGAAGAACCAAGAGGACACGGATGGAAACATGCAAATTACGATTGAGGATAACGGCCCCAAGGTCATTTCCCTTAGAACGGCTGCCTCGGCTGGCCACAACCGCTTCGAGGTCCGAGGGACGTACATGCTGTCGAACCTACTGCAGGAGTTGACGTTAGCCAAAGAGTACGGCCGGAAGCAGATCATCCTTGATGAAGGCCGCTTGAACGAGAACCCTGTGGACCGCTTGTCCCGCTTGATCCGCGACCATTTCTGGGATGGTCTGACGAGGCGAATCGACGCATCTAGCATTGAGGTCGCTGCTCGTGACCCCAAGGACTGGACAGACGACCCTCGCCCGAGAATTTACGTGCCTCTCGGAGCGCCCGAGCAGTACGAGTACTATCAGAAGGTCGCTGCCGACAGGCCAGAGCTCCGCCTCGACGTCCAGCAGCTTCCGGAGAATATCACGGTCGAACTGATCCGAGACCTGAACGATAAGCCTGGTCTGCTGGCCGTGGCCGTGGAGAAGGTGGAGGAGGATGACGGCAAAGGTAACAAGACGACCACCCTGAAGGGCCTTCCCTTTGTCGTTCCTGGCGGCCGTTTCAACGAACTCTATGGTTGGGACAGCTACATGGAGTCCCTCGGCTTGCTCATCCATGAGAGGGTTGACCTGGCCAAATCCATGGTGCTCAACTTTTGCTTCTGCATTGAGCACTATGGCAAGATTCTCAACGCCACTCGGTCTTACTATCTTGCCCGATCTCAGCCCCCCTTCCTGACAGACATGGCGCTTCGAGTGTACGAAAAGATCAAGCATGAGCCGGATTCCAAGGAGTTCTTGAGACGAGCAATTCTCGCGGCCATCAAAGAGTACCACAGCGTCTGGACCAGCGAGCCTCGATTGGACCCGGTGACGGGACTTTCAAGATACCGACCCGACGGTCTAGGAGTACCCCCGGAAACGGAAGCCACGCACTTCGTCCACATCTTGGAGCCCTACATCAAGAAGCACAATATGGGGTTCAAGGAATTCGTTCGTGCCTACAACTATGGTGAGATCAAGGAGCCCGAGCTCGACGAATACTTCTTGCATGACCGTGCAGTCCGCGAATCCGGCCACGACACGTCCTACCGCCTCGAGGGTGTCTGTGCCAATCTCGCCACGATCGACCTCAACTCTCTCCTCTTCAAGTACGAGACCGACATTGGACGAACCATCCGAAGCCTCTTTGGCGACAAGCTGGTCATCCCAGCCGAGTTCTGCGCGGGCACCCCCTATCAGCCCGGCGAGTCCGTGTCTTCGGCGGTCTGGGATCGGCGTGCCAAGCGGAGAAAGCTGACAATGGACAAGCTGATGTGGAACGAGGAAGAGGGCATGTTCTTTGACTATGACACGGTCAAGAAGCAGAGGTGCACCTATGAGTCTGCCACGACTTTCTGGGCGCTCTGGGCTGGGTTGGCTACGCCCAAGCAGGCTGCCGATATGGTAAAGAAGGGCCTGCCTAAGCTCGAGATGTTCGGAGGTCTGGTAGCTGGAACGGAAAAGTCTCGAGGCGAGCTTGGGCTGGAACGCCCCAACCGGCAATGGGATTACCCCTATGGCTGGGCGCCTCAGCAGATGCTGGCCTGGACCGGCCTGCTCCGTTACAGCTTCACCGAGGAAGCCGAACGCCTCGCCTACAAGTGGCTCTTCATGATCACCAAGGCCTTTGTCGACTTCAACGGAGTAGTGGTGGAGAAGTACGACGTCACGCGGCCCATCGATCCTCACCGTGTCGATGCCGAGTATGGAAACCAAGGCCTTGATTTCAAGGGCGTCGCGAAAGAAGGGTGAGTCCTCACCGTCTCCTGTTGCTGCGTAGATGCGATTTCGAGATGATACTAATGTGAATATGATAGGTTTGGGTGGGTCAATGCCAGTTACGTCTATGGTCTCCAGATTGTGAACGCGCACATGCGACGAGCGCTGGGAACACTTACCCCGTACGAAACGTTTGTCAAGGCCATTGAGCTGAACAATGAACGGGCCATGGCCAATCTGACCCTGTGATGATGTTGACTGCGGAACCGAATGCCGAAGCGGTGGCCGTCCCGAGACGACACAGTACAGGGCTAAAGAATGCCATCATTGCCGGGGTGAAACGCTGAGTGACCAAAACCTGGCTGAAGGGGGAGGTCGAGTCGAATTAGAAGGTTGTGAAAAGCTATTTGCGACTCATGCGCCGACTGCAGCACACCAAGAAAATAAAAACAAAAAACAAGCAATAAAACAATGTTGTTTGGAATGGTTTGGTTCGATTCGGTAGATGGGCTCTAATGTAGTCGGGTATCTCTTGAATAGAGGCTGTTTGGTTGTAGGAAGCAATGAATGCCAGAAGCTGCAGCTGTTTCGGTTGCATTCAAGTGCAATGCCTGTGACCCAAGTGCAACTCTTTTGACAAAGATTGGCTCTCCGTGATAGGTCGGCAGGATAGATGGACGGAACGGAGTTGTTCGGTTTGCGTCGACTCGCCGAGAAGGATTCGGGAGTCATACTCGCTGATTATTGCACGATATGCTGCCAGATCTGGACCGGTGATATCGCGGCTGATTGATTTACCGAGCCGATTTCACTTCATGCCGTCTGTATGGGCGCCTCGTGTGTTTGTCGTGTTGAGGCCATGCAGCCGAATGAGGGCGCATCGGATGCTTATGAACACGATGGTTCAACCCTGGGTTTGTAACAATATGGGCTATCGCTTTTTGAACAACTACGTATAATCATATCCGAGATGATTTGTCAATTTCACATTGGATATTCATTCACGATAGTTTCCACCTCTTGACTGAGAGCCGTCTCACACGGCTGGCTTCTTGTGTGCTCTCGACATTCTGAGTGCGTCACTTCACATGCCAGAGTTGGGTGAGTTCCGGTGGGCCGTCCGTCTGGGTGGGGAAGGAGTGGATTGGCTGGTGAATTGCCGATTTGAGCGTGAGGAAACTTGTGGGGAGGAAGGAGGAAAGGTCGCCACTTGTGAAAGCCGGGAACAAGGTACGACTGTTATGACGGTTTGAGCTGGGAGGAAGGCGCGTTGTGGAGAGGATAGAGGGAACTCTTCGGGATAGACAAAACTGGCGAGAGGCAACTCCGACATTGACTCATCTACCTCTTTACTCAGCTTCATCGACTCCCGAGATATTTCGCTGCAAAAGCGCCTGGACGTTCCACGACGATACCTTATATAATACTACCTACCCATCGATCCGTCTTAGCGTGAAGGTACGGACACATGGAGGCCATTCGACCAAAACGCGGGGCCGACGGCTGACCCTCGTTTCGGCATCTCGGCCAATGGCGGCTACCAACCACACGCAAACCCACGCCCATCACCTTGGTTCCAGAGCTCCCCTTGAGCCGAGCTGGAGCCGCGCCGCATTCTGGACTCCGGGGCAGCGCTTCCTTCAGCTTTGGTCTCTCTGTGGGCTATTGCTGTGTCTTAGCACCCTTGGGGAAAGCTCGGAGGTCACGTCACGCTGCCTGGGTCGATGCAGGGGGGCGTGTGCGTTGATCGTCGAGCATATGCCCTTTGGTTATGTGCCGAGCTTAGATTGTCACTGGGCCTCGTCTAAGTGGTTGGGTGAGGGGAGTTGCCAGAGGTGTCGGGCTATCCCGGCGCTCTTTCAGAAGCTTGGGGAGGAGTCAGACTTGCCAGTTCCGAGGTGAAATGGAGGAAAGGGAGAGAATGACAGCTGGGGTTGTGGCTTGTGCTCGGAGCACCATGGCTGGGCGCCGTCTCTTGGGTGCTTTGCGTGAGGGCGAGGGTCGTGACCTGTGACTCGGCTTAAACTTTAACTCGGTCTCTTCTTCCTCTTCCTCTTAACAATCCCTTCTTCTGCTCTACATCTTTTGTCTTCTTGAAGCTTCTTGGGTCGTGTGACAAATCTCCTGGATCTTCTTCTGCCTTCCTCTACGCAATTGACCTGATCTGTTCATTGTTTAACAAGCAGCAACCGCTTGCATATATCCATCATGGCTGCCAACAACATGGTGACGCCGGCTGTGAACCCGGAGATCGAAGACGACCTCTTCCAAAAAGAGGTCGAGCAGGTCAAGGAGTGGTGGCGCGATTCACGATGGAGGCACACGAAGCGCCCCTTTACCGCCGAGCAGATTGTCTCCAAGCGAGGCCATTTGAAGATTGAGTATCCCAGCAATGCTCAGGCTAAGAAGCTGTGGAATATCCTGGAGAACCGCTTTCAGGTGAGTCATTCAAGTCATTGTCGATGTGACGGATTCCGCAGAGTGGCCTACTGACAGCAGATGTAGAACAAAGACGCCAGCTACACCTATGGCTGCTTGGAGCCTACAATGGTGACTCAGATGGCCAAGTATCTCGACACTGTCTATGTGTCCGGCTGGCAATCATCTTCAACTGCCTCGGCATCTGACGAGCCCGGCCCCGATTTGGCAGATTACCCCTACGTAAGTTCTTTCGCAACGCTTCCATGCGCACAAGAACTGCTTTGGCTGATACTCTCCTTCTCAGACCACTGTGCCCAACAAAGTCGGCCATCTATTCACGGCCCAGCTCTTCCATGATCGAAAGCAGCGCCAGGAGCGTTTGAGCGTGCCCAAGTCTCAGCGATCCAAAGTGGCCAACATCGACTACCTTCGACCCATCATTGCCGACGCTGATACTGGCCATGGCGGTCTGACTGCCGTCATGAAGCTCACTAAGCTCTTTGTTGAGAAGGGTGCTGCCGGTATTCATATTGAAGATCAGGCGCCCGGTACCAAGAAGTGCGGACACATGGCCGGCAAGGTCCTTGTCCCCATCAGCGAGCACATCAATCGCCTCGTTGCCATTCGCGCGCAGGCTGACATCATGGGTGTCGACTTGATCGCCGTCGCCCGAACCGACGCTGAAGCTGCGACTCTCATCACCACCACGATTGATCCTCGTGATCACGCTTTCATCCTGGGCTCTACCAACCCTAACCTGCAGCCCCTGAACGATCTTATGCTTGCTGCCGAGCAGGCCGGAAAGTTTGGTGACGATCTGCAGCGCATCGAGGACCAGTGGATGGCTTCTGCTGGCCTGAAGCGATTCGACGACGCCGTCGTTGCTGCCATTGAGGCCAGTGGTTCTCCTAATGCTGCCAAGATCAAGAGCGACTACCTTGCTCGCGCCAAGGGGAAGAGCAATGCTGAAGCTCGTGCCCTGGCCAAGAGTCTCCTTGGCAAAGACGTCTTCTTTGATTGGGACGCTCCTCGGACCCGAGAGGGATACTACCGCCTGCAGGGTGGCTGTGACTGTGCCATCAACCGTGCCATTGCGTACGGCCCCTTCTGTGACGCCGTGTGGATGGAGAGCAAACTGCCCGACTATGCTCAGGCCAAGGAGTTTGCCGACGGTGTCCACGCCGTATGGCCCGAGAAGAAGTGAGCCCTCCCGTCTTGTTCTGTTATTCCTGGTGGTGTCTTGACTAACCCATGTTAACGCAGGCTCGCTTATAACCTCTCGCCCTCCTTCAACTGGAAGACCGCCATGCCCCGCGAGGAGCAGGAGACGTACATCCGCCGCCTCGCACAGCTGGGGTACTGCTGGCAGTTCATCACGCTTGCCGGCCTGCACACCACCGCTCTGATCAGCGACCAGTTCGCCCGCGCCTACGCCTCCCACGGCATGCGCGCATACGGCGAGCTCGTCCAGGAGCCCGAGATGGAGCAGGGCGTGGACGTGGTGAAGCACCAGAAATGGAGCGGCGCCAACTACGTCGACGAGCTGCAAAAGATGGTGACTGGCGGAGTGAGTTCTACGGCGGCCATGGGTAAGGGCGTGACCGAGGATCAGTTCCATTAGAGACGGGATTCTTGTTCCCTCTCTCGCCGCGCCCGTTACCGCCCTCGTTTCGCCCATCTTTTATACCCTTTCCCAGAGCGTGAGGGGGAGGAAAAATTATTGCACATAGTGTCAGTCGTAATACTTGGAGATTGTCGGAGACTGCTTGCTTCGAAAAAATGAAGATGAATGAAGGATGTTTCCTTGAGCTGTCATTGCCATGCATTGGGCACAGCTGTGCCAAATACCTCAAGTCACATAAAACAAGAATACAAAAAAAGATGTTACACATTAAAATATGTACCTATAGTGACTACTGTCCATCCTTCTCACAACTTCAGCAAATACAAAGGGTGCTGAACGAAGAAAGAAGAAAGAGAGCAAAAGAGCCTGCGCCAGAGCAGCAGCGGCAGCAGTCGTCCTGTTTGTTATTCGGCATCTGGAACGTTTTTCTCTCGACTTGATTCATCGTCAAGAAGAACAAACCCAGCCATGCCATGCCATGCCATCGGCTCACCGATGGAATCCTCCCGCCCAAGTTGAACACACTCCCCATCCCAACCGTCGGCGCTTGACAAGAAAAACGCTGCGCACCCCAAAGTTTCTAAAAACCCAGATTTGACGCCCACACCCAGAACAGGAAAACCAAGTGACGATGCGAAACGATGAGAAAGTTAGGAAGAAGCAAAAAGGTTGGAAGGGCAAAACAACAATGAAAGAGGTTCCTAATGTTGCAGAGCCATCCTTTTGGAAGTGAAAAGGACGTAAGAGATAGGAAAGGGAAGAAAAGAGGTGAGGAAGGGAGAGAAGGTACATTTCGGAAGTCATGAAGCTCGGGACACCAGAAATCTGAGAGAGAGCGAGCCCCTCAGATTATGTCTAGTCCGTTCTCTCATCCTGCGAACCTAGTCGGCCTCGGCCAGCTGCATAATCAGTTTGGCCGCGCGGTCCAGGAACGGGAACGGGCTGGTGACCTCCTTCTCCTCGAGCAGCCTTCCGTCCTCGGTCTCGTAGCCCGAGCACTTGAAATCCACGAGATAGACCCCCTGCTCCATCTCATAGATTTGGATGTCCATGTGCAAGGCGACAAAGTCCTTGCGTGAGGTCGAGTCTCCACGAGTGTAGACGAAGCTGTCGGGAGATGCCGTCTTGGGGTCAAGATAATCTCGACGGTCTGCCTCTGTCTGCATGCCTAGTTGTTTGATTCCGTTCGTTAGATGAAAGTCTATCAAAGGGCAGGTTATGGAGTAATAGACAGTTCAAGACTCACTTGTTGATGGCCATCTGACTTGTATGTGCCACGGATCTGCAGGCAGCTTGTACCTCTTCGTCGGATCCCTGTCATGCCCGTTTGGCTCTCTGTCTAATGGGGCGCCGTTGGCGAAGCTGCCATCGCGGCTTGAGGCATCTTCGACCCCTCTGCGTTGCGCTTCGTCATAGCCTTCGTCGCGGAGATGGGATGCGCCAAGCTTATTCAGTGCCTTGTGGATGCAAAGGAGAGCCTCCCATGGCGCATTGCGAGATCTTATGCCAAATTGCCAGCGCACAGGCTTGGGCTTCTTGACTGGGGCCGTGATTGGCGTCATGCCTTGCGGGCGTTTGCTGGACTCGTCCAGACGCAGAGCACTGCGTGAGTGAGGATTCAAGCGACGTGCCGCCTCCTCCTTTTCAGCCTCGGTGCGGGTAACGGGCAGCTCGTCGTTGATGGTGATGGCTGGAGTGACAGATTCGTGGCCGGTCCCGTTCTTTTCCCTCTCCATGTAGTCCTTGTGGTAGGCGGGGAGACTGCTGGGTAGAATGCCGACTTTGGTGACATACGGGCGGGGGGATGCGCCTCCTGGCGAGATGGCGGATCGTGTGGAAGATATGCTCATCATGGGACTGCCTTCATCCCCAGTGAGGCCAGCGTCTGGGTCTCGAAGGCAGTTAGTAAACGGCTGGCTTGGTCATAAACGGGCGGCGAGAAAACGGGAGGAATGGGAAAGCCATGTGCGGACTCACTGTTTGCTAGCATGAGCTTGTTTTCTCGGACAATCATGTAGGCGTCTTTGATGGCAGAGGGCTCATCAGACTGGAGAGCCTCCTCCACGTCGTCTTTGCCATAACCCATGGTCTTGCTAATCTTTTCGGTGACCTCGTTATGCAGCTTCTCCTGCACCTTTTCGGGAGCATTGGGCGCAATGTCGCTCTTCTTGATTGCCTTGTTGGGATCGACGCCAGTGTTGAAGAACTCCTCGACGGGAGGCTGCAGGTACGCGGGCAAGTCTGTGTTGAACCACGGATCGGCCCTGATCTCGTCAATCGTCATGCGCTGCACGGGGTTGACCACCAGCATGCCCTTGATCAAGGCGGCTGCGCCTGGTGGCATCCACTGCGGCATGCTGTAAGTGCCCCTCGCGATCTTGGCAAAGAGGCTCGGGATGTGCTCGTCGTCAAAGGGCAGCCTGCCGACGAGAAGAACGTAGAGAATGACACCGCAGCTCCAGACGTCGACTTCGGAGCCGGCGTAGAGCTTCCCGCCAATGACTTCGGGGGCGGCATAGTTGGGGCTGCCGCAGCTCGTCTTGAGGAAGTTGCCGTCCGTCATGATGTTGCTCAGGCCGAAGTCGGCAATTTTGACGTTGAGATTCTCGTCCAGCAGCAGGTTCTCGGGCTTCAGGTCGCGGTGGACGATCTTGTGGCGGTGGCAGTACTCAACGGCACAGATCATCTGCTGGAAAAAGCGGCGTGCCTCTGCCTCCTTCATGCGGCCGTTCTGGACGATGTAGTCGAACAGCTCGCCGCCGGCGTACTCGAGCACCATGATGATTTCGGACGGGGTCTTGATGACGGTGTAGCTGCTCAAACGGTTAGAGTCAGAACAAGAGAAAGCGGCGGGAGGCCAGCGTACAGCTTGATGATGTGCGGGTGCCGCAGCAGCTGCAGATACTCAATCTCGCGCTCGACACGGCCGGCCATGTCGCGGCTGATGAGCTTCTTCCTGGTGATGATCTTGAGGGCGACCTTCTGGCCGGTGCCGTTGTGGATGGCCAGCCGCACCTTGCCAAAGGAGCCCTCGCCCAAGGTCCGGACGACGGTGTAGGCGCCAATCCGCTGCTCCGTCTTGGCCTTGTCCTGAGGCTGGTCGGCTCGCGCCATGGCTGTGGGCGCATTCGCAGCGTCGCCCTGCTGAGGCTGGGGCTGGGGCGGCTGCTGTTGCTGCTGCTGCTGGTGACGCCGGACGTGGGTGGACGACATGGAGATGGTCAGCTCCTCATCGTCGAAGCCTCGAGGGACCATGGCGAGCGGCAGGAGGCTGGGCTGGACCGCGCTCGCTGGAGGGGGGCAGAGGACTATATATGCTGTCGCCGGCGGATGGCTCGTGGAGAGATAAGGATGATGGAGAATTCGTGAACAGACTCTCGGATCCGCGGTCAATCAATGCCAGACGGGGAAGAAATGCTGGCTTTTGGCTTTGGGGCAACGGGCAGAGAGTTCAATTCTGGGTCCGGCTTGGTTGGTTGAGATGGAGGGGTAACGTCACTAACAGCCCAGCGCAGTCCAGCACCGAGTCCGGAAAATTACAGCAGGGCCAGCCGCCTGGACGTCGCGGTACCGGAGTACATGTGCGCGCTAGGGCGGTTGGGGTGGAGTGCGCCCAGCAGGACAATTAGCGGACAATTGGTGGGCAGCAGCCGCCAAGGCTGGCCGGGTTACAGGCGCCTTTAGCGGCCTGGCTGTTCACAGCTGGTCGCTAGTACATGTACCTTACCTCTTCGGCTGATAATTTCCAAGATCATTGATATCGGCCTGGGCGGAAAGGACTGGAGTCGGGGTCTGAATCGCCTACATGTACTTACTCGTCTGCTCATACACTCGGCCGATGCGCCGTCTCAGCTCTGTAGATATGTTGAGATCAGATCCATGGGCTCCATGGAATGCCGTCCATGTTTCAGCCCAGCATCGACGCTGTGTCAAGCTGCGGGAGCTGTACCTGAATGGTACCGGAGGACGAACGAACTCAAAGCTGCAGTAAGAGACGATCTCCGTATCCAAGACGAGCCCGTTTTCCATCTTGTCCAAATAGACTATATACTTGAGATTGCCATCAAGGAACTGTGCACCTGAATAGATAGACAACATCGTTGAGACATGAATACGACCACAAGATGTCGGCATCCGTCGACGTGCAAGCCACTGAAGATCTTTTTCTCCATCCGCCTCAGATATCCAACACCCGTCTCTCCAGCCAGCCTCTTCACATGTCATTCCCATGTACAAAGCACCATTGTGCATCGTCCGTAACAACAGCCTCGTCCCGCTGACAGCCTTCACCAGCATTAGCCTGAGACCTGCATGAGATGTATCGCATTCCTGCCAGAAGCTGCCCTCTGATTGGGTCTTCATGGCCCGATTGTTTGGGGCAACCAAAGAACAGACGACTTCAAAGAGCTCTGACAGCACCACCACCACCATCATCATCATCGCATTGCCACTCGGCAATTGTCGTACGACTTTGGCGAAGTTTCGTGGTATTTTGACTCTGGGGCATCTCTGACATTTGTCATGAGCGTAGGTATCTCGAATAAGCTCTGAGTCAAGCACCGCTTCTTTTTCTCGGGCGTTGGCTGTGCACGTGTGGTTTCAACGTGGCTGGAAAGCCAATACAGGCACATTCATATGGAAGGTAAGGTAGCTCGAGGAAGAGTTCAAGGCAACGAGTCTGCCTACTAGAGGGCCAATACCAGAAAATAGAAGAGATCGGAGATGAAGGAAGAAAAAAAAACAGAAGGGGAAAACATTACTATGCAGTCGGTGCAAAGGCCAAAAAGAGAGGTCTCTGCGTGAATCGAACACGCGACCTAGAGATAACTGCGCGAAACTGCAATCTCTCGCTCTAGCCACTGAGCTAAGAGACCGAATGATGACGTAAATTGTGTCTATGCTAGCTTATAAAGGTACATCTCCTCCCATTGAAGCAGTTTATCCCTTGAGGACGAATAATGATCTGAAGTCTTGTAAAGATTGCAAGTTCTAGAGCCAAACTGTTGGCGATTTCGCAATGCCGAGTTCAATAAGCCACTAACGTTCTGAGTCCGCGCCTCCAGATACGTGGCTTGCAATAGCCCAGCCTTAACGTGAGGCTGTTGACAAAAGAGCGGGTCCGCTACGCCTTGGAATTGGACCGTTGTGTCTTGACTTACCCGGCAATCGTAAAGGCGAGCAGATCGATTGGTGAGCGAACATTACAAGTTCGAGATCTCGCTTGTCAGGCTCATTGGCTGACGAAGGGGAGAGAGAGTATACTGTTCTCATGCACTTCCTTTTTCGTCGTTGCGGTTCAAACGCTGCAATCTGACTATGGCCGAACCTCTTTGCGAGACTTTGTCCAAATCAAAAAGCAAGGTAAGGTACAAGAACAGTGACAGGCAGCAAGAGCCCGGCTCGCTTGTGATTTTGTAACCTACTTCGTGTTTCATTGCTTTTCCTCATCCTATACTTGAGGTATTCGCCAGCCAAGCTGTGTGTCACCTGTCGACGGGAAAACAGCGCACTCGAAACTATGACGCAGTTGCTGTTTAAAGAGAAAGCGGAACAAAAAAAAGACAAGCAATGCCGTCAAAAAGAGAAATCCAATGCGTAATCTGGGAATCGAACCCAGGGCTCCCCGACGTTGCGGATGGCAACGGAGAATTTTACCACTAAACCAATTACGCTTGTTCTTGCTTGTTGGATGGTGCTGTAACAGTCAACATAAACTTACCGTCCATTCGCAAGCCCACCAAACCCCCAGCTTGTAACTGGCTCATCAAAGAAAACTCAAGATGATGCTTCTTCACTATGCTAAGGCAACCTGTGTCCCCCTAGGGTATATCTCCAAAAATGGTCTCTGCTCAATGGCTGGTGCCGAAACCTGGTATATTAACACTCAGACACCACCAGTCTCTCCTGGGGGTAAGTGTCAGAAAGTTGTCTGGCAGCTGCAAATCTTGACACAGCAAGCATTCTCTAGAGCTTCAGTCTTCCACGATTCCGCCGCCCTTCTCCGTGATATTGAAAGTATACATATCATTCTAGCTACAGTTCAACTTGGAGAATTTGTACGACTTTACCAAAAAGACCAGCATGGCCAAAGTAAGGTGACCCGAAAACAGAGGCACAGAATCCGAGGCAGCCTCGCCCACCTTGTATGCGCACCGAATCTTCCTTCACGTCCGAGAAGAGCAACTTCCGAAAGAAAGAGAGGCAACACATATATATGAGCAAAAGACAAAAAAGAAATTCTTGACGAGAGTGGGACTCGAACCCACGCGGATTGCTCCACCAGGAATTGCTGTTAAGGTAGCCTTAACCTGACGCCATAACCAACTCGGCCATCTCGCCAGATGCCGTGATATGATAAGATTCTGTGTTGTTTGGGGAGATGTTCCTGGCACACACGGACACATCGAATGCTTCGTTCTTTGGCAGCGAGCCTCACCTGTAAGCAACCTCATGATTCATGCATGTGAAAAACCTCACTGAAAGGGAATTGGCTAGGCTTGATATCCGATAATTTATTATGTTTTGCCAATTAGAGACCGTTGCCCAGTGATACCTCACAAGATGAATTGGAGAGTATAGTCTGACGTATTCCGTTCAGCGAACCGTTAATTCAGTCTGATATATATACCTTACCAGTTCATTTGCAGGACAAGTTCGCATGGAGAGCGACACATCGAACCTAAAGGAGCGGAGGAGGGAGCTCGAGAGCTGCCGGCAGCCAAGGGCCGCCAGAGTCGGCCGACAGTCATATCGATTGCGGTGACCCTTGAGTTTCATTAGCGCTTCGAGCCATATAAGACTAATGCCCGCTAAAGCGTTTAAAGGGGCCTAAGCAAAGCTGTAGAGAGAGCGGCTTTAGCGCCTTATTAGCAGAAAATTAATATTATGCCTTACTGCCCTCTTTATAATTATTATTATTATTATTATTATTATTATTATTATTATTAAAGAGCTTTAAAAGCATTATAAAAAAAAAAGCATTATACTAAATTTAAACGCTTAACCTTTTAGCTGCTTTATAATACTAAGGGCTCTTTTAAAGCTATAGATTGCATTTATAAGCATAATAAGAGAGGTAATACCCTTATACCTTTAATTACTCTTATTAAGCGCTATTATAGCTATGCTTAAGCCTAGCTAGTAAGTATAATTTACTGCTTATAAAGGTTATCTTATTATAAAGAAAAACAGCTAGAATAGTAAAAAAGTAAAAACTCTTTATATACTAGCTTTAATATACTATAGGCTAGATTTAAAGACTTAGTTACTTATTTTATAATACTTAGCTTTTATATAAGTAAGAAGGCTTAAAGCCTTTTTTCTAACTGCTTTTATAAAAGTTAAGCGCCTTATTATAAAGCAGTGTTATTACTTTAGCTATTTTATTAAATATTTTATATATAAAGAGCAGATATATATATAATTAATATAATAGCTAAAGGCTATTACCCTTTTTAAACTACTATACTAACTATAATACTAATATCTAGCTAGTATTATAAAAAGAAGAGATATTATTACTTATAAAGGATAGGTTATAATACTTATATATATAAAGCTTAAAGGAGGTTATTATAATATTACTGCTTTAACTAAATAATAAAAGGCTTAGTGTTTTAGTGCCTTTTAATATATAGCTTTATATTTATACTACTATTTAAAAGCTTTTTTATAATATATATAGTAATAGAATAATAAAATATATATATTATATTAAATAAAGGCATATTATAATAGCATTAAATAAAAGCGCCTTTATATATTAAAAGAAAAGATAAAAAGGCTGCCTTTTTTACTCTTTTCTTTTTCCTTTTTTATTACTATTACTATTACTACTATTACTATTATTATAACCTTTTTTATTTTATTATATCTCTTAAAAAAGCTAATGCTAAAGGTAAGAGTAAGGCTATTACTTAGCCTTTATCTTCTAGAGTTATTAATTAACCTTTATTTTATATTTATAAGCGCTATAGCTAACTTACTTTTAGTAAAAGATAAAAAAAGTAATAACTAAAATAATAATAATAGCAGTAATAATAATAGTAATAATAATAGTAATAGTAATAGCTTTTTAAGATTTACTATATAAGCCTTATATTAAGAGCTTACTAGCTAGTAAAAAAATAATAACTCTTAATTAGTATATAAATATAAATAACCTAGCTTATAATAACTATAAGGTTTATAAAAGCAGCAGCTATATATACTATCCTTAATATATTTTCCCCTTTAAGTTAATGCTTTTTTATTAATAATATTTAATAGTTACTTAAAGCTTATGCCCTTTATTTAAAGACTTAATTATATTATAGGCTTGGGCTTTGCCTGAGCTTACTAATGCTTTAGGCCGCCCTGGCAAAATAATAGCCTGCCCTAGGTCTGGCCTAGGCTTAGGGTATACCTGGCTAGGGTATATAATAGCTATATAATGCATAGTAGAATATTCCTTCTTTCTTCTTTAAGTATATAAATTTATATATAGACGCTTACTTACAGATGCTATAAGGCTAGTCTTTTTATAGTTTATATACTTTACTCTTTTTGCTATAAATAGCTTTATATCTAGAGATGCTATAAAATATGGCTAAAGAAAACATACACCTTGCTATAATAGTAGCGCAGCTTTAACAGAAAGCTGCAGCCTTGCATAAGCAGGTTGTATACTAACAGCATAAGTTAGCTAACTAGGCAGTATTACTTACGCTACTAACACTAAGGGGGGACTAGGCATTTGCTAAAAAGGGCATAAATTGCTATAATCTCTAAATCCTATAAGCTATGTAATAGTAATAAACCGCCCCTATACTAGTAGTAATATAATAACCGGTTAAGCAGAAGCCACTGCCGCTTAAGGACTTATATAACAGCAACTAGGCAATATTCTTTACCTAGAAGTTTATAATAGAACACATGCTAGAAACAGACTGGGACTTTATTAAAGCTAAGAAGGACTAGTTTGTCTTTATCTAGCAATAACTTATATTAAAAGCCTAGAGCAAGGTCTTAGGATATTATAAGATAGTAATAAAGAAGGGCTAGTTTAATATAGGCTGCTAGCTAAACTACCTGTCCTTAGTCTTTATAAACCTGTACTAGCAGGAACTAGTGCTAACTAAACTCTAGCATATCTAGCAGCAACTTAATAAATCCTTTACTATATTCTTTATCTATTTTAAATAGAAAATGGCACTTATAGGTGGTCTTTTATAGGCAGATGATATTAAGCTTATGCAGCTCTACAGCGCACTCTCCTTAAAAATGCGCAGCTGCAGCCTTAGATGCAGTATCCCTTAGGATAACTATACAAGGGCTATTATAATATACTGCGCTATTGCTATTAAATTAGAAACCTATGCTATTAAGGAGAAGTACTGTAGCTACTGTATGGTAAATAAGTAAGTTAATAACCTTAATAAGGACTTAGACAGGGACATGGCTATAACTAGGGTGTATATAGCCTGCATTAAAGGCGCTTTATAACACTAGTAACTAGGATAGCAGGGCGCTAGCAGTATAGGGCTAAAGGCAGATGCTCCTTAGGCTAAGTAAGTAGCATAAAGCATTTTAATAAAGCGTAGGGAAAAGGGGGAATGTCTTTATTATAGCTCTGCAGTATATTAAGTCGCTAAATGCCACCTCTATCCTACTGCTTATCCTGTCTTTATTAAGGTTATAAGCATTAGCTCTAGGGATAAAACTAATAATAGGATAAAGTTAGAGGGAAATAGTTTACCCCTAAGTTAAGTCTATTACAGGGGCAGGATAAGAGCTTGCTATTGCTAATGCAGCATGCCCTTATTATACTAAAGGAATTAGATAAGATATTAAATAAAATAAATAAGCTACTGTTCCTTATACTTATACTCTTTTA